GGGTGTGATTCAGCATCTTTGATCAATGACCCTCATGCGCTTCATGTTCAGTGTTCAATGCGGATTTTGACCAGTTCCCACATGGGAGTGGGTAAAACCCCGTTTTGGGCACATGACCATCCATTTGCCAGATCTTTTCATTTTCACCAGGGTCTTGACTGTCTTCACCTATAGCCAGATCCCAATTTTTCTCAATAGGCACCTTTGAATCAACCATGCATCATCATCATCATCATCATCCTCATCCCTGCCATAAGTGTGAATTGTTCAACAGTAAATCCTCCATTCTTAGACAAACCAAAATTAATAAAATGTTTCTTATATATGTCCATTACATCCCCATAGTTGGTGAAATCCACATTTCCGATCGGGTGTAATGTTAAAACCACCATATATCTTGTGGGTGAAACCACCATTCTTGGTTAAGTCCACATTTTTTTTCCCTTGAGAACCTTGCCAGAACGTTTTCCCTTAACCTCAGATTCACCACTTTTTGTTGGTTGAATCCACATTTTCCCTTGAGAACCTGCCGCCTTAGATCCTGAGCCTGGTAAACGACCTGGTCTACACAGACGTGGCGCTGCGTTCCTGCGGCTACCTGGACGCCGTGGACAACGTGGTGCGCGTGGTTCGGGGCCCGGAGCCATTTGGAGTCTGACCACCTATCGCTGGGATGGTTTAAACACATATAATGTTGGTAAACATCAATAATACACCACCACATTTTTGATGGTTTATACCACCCATGTATGGTGATTTGGGTGATGGTTTATTATTGTTTTACCCACATTATAAAGAATTGGGGGTTTACCACATGATTTATCCTTTACGAAAGTCTTGGAAAGGGGGTTGAGGTGGACATTTCTGGACTCACCAGGAATATATTCCAGTAACAATGGGACCCAGATGATGAGCGAAATGTCCGGAATGTACCGGATCCCAATTGGCCGCGCCGAGCTCGCCGAGGCGGCTTCAAATCCCCTGACCTACATGGCAATCAAAGCATCAGCCATAGTGCCTCGGGCAAGGATCCCATGAGCTGAGATGGATTGACGATGAGACGATGTGTGGTTGTCAGCGGGAACAACACGTTCCATCTCATTCACGGGCTTATGGGTGTCATTCACAGACAAACATATACCTTAATTAATCCATTATCCATTAACCATCCATTAACATCCATAAACCATTCAATTATAATTGGGTTTAGTCAACAGAATTATAAAATGGTTATAATAACCTATATTATCATGATTAAAACCCAATTATAGTAGGTTATCTATTATTATTATTAACCTACCATTAACCAAGGTGATGCGGGTGGTTGGCGTCTCGATCCTGGGTGGCTGTGGAACCTTCATCTCCTACCAGGTGCGGAGCGCCGTGGGAGCACCGTGGGGATGTGGTAATTTGGTGGTGATTTAATGGGAATTGATGGCGTTTTTATGGGAATTGATGGGATTTGATAGTGATTCAATTGGATTTTATGGTGATTTCATTGGATTCACTGGGATTTATTTATTTAATGGTGATTTGTTTGAATTTTATGGGATGTCATTGGATTTTTATGGTGAGAAAATTTCACAATGGTGGTGTTTGGTGAGATACGATGATCCATCATGTGGTTGGGAGCCTCGATTCGCAGCTCCTTGGCTTCCGATTTAGGAGGGAATATGCTAATGGACTATGGATACCCTTAGCTTATCCTAGCCCCTTAGCTCCCTCCTAACCACTGTATAGTGATATAGCTGGATATTGACCATGAGAAAATGACTCGCTAACTGGATATTTGACTGGATATTTGATATGACCATCATTTCAATTCACGTAGGCCATGCTATGGTTTGGGGGTTGAAACATTAGTTTCACCTATTTTTCCTTCCAGGGTCTACTTTAATAAGGGCGATGTTAACCATGCTCAAGCCTGAGGATTTGCGTGTAGCTGAGATTATAACACTTAATATTAATTGTAAGCTAACTGAGGGATGGTCAACTGGTTATTAATCACATACCAATATACTAACCATAATATTCTGGAAATGTGACTGCGGGATGATTGTCGCAAATGAATGCACATGATTCATATTCTTCGTCCATAGTTGCTTAGGTCGGTATTTGCTAGGGCGCCATAACGTGAACCGATGCATCAAAACCATTCAAAACCTGGATTTTTATACGAGGTGTGATTCTTTTTACAGAGAATGAATCCAAATGTCTTCAAATGATGCCAAAGAAGATTACAGCAAATATAAGCAAACAGATGGCACACACACAAACAAAGATAAACAAAGTACATCTTCAACATGGGAGTCAATTTTCTTTGGCCCCAAAACCGACAGATGGCACACCACAAGCGCAGTGTGAGGTTTTGAGTTCCAGTGAGCTCCATCGCCAGCTGGATATGGTGCAGGGGGCCCCAGCTACGCTGCAATGAACCGTTTTTTTCGCCCGAGCACTTGCTTTCTGTGTGATTCTGTATGCAACACAAGGAATTTTGGCCCAAACCCAGCCGTGCACTGCTACAATGGCTCCGGCGGTGTCGCGACCGCCGTCCCGGTCCTCCCAAGTCTCCAGCGACGGTGAGGGTGACGACATGGGCAGGCGCCCGTCTTCTCAGTGCGTTACGCCGCGTGTGGAGGGCACTGGACGCAGTGGAAGCCCCGTGCACCGGGCCAACCTGCCATTCTCCCAGCAGAGCTCCCAACAACGTGACTTGAGCAGATATGAGGCTTGTGAACGATAGTGAGCGTGTGAATGCATTTGTTGTTTTTTTTGGGGGGCTGGGAACAAGAAGAAACATGATTACACCATATTCATTTGTGCGCCCACTATGTGTAATAGTAATGGTTTAAGTGAAACCATCGACCTAGGTGTTCTTCCCTTGCACAAGCCCTATGAAAACCTCAAGCAGTTCATGAATGGCGAAGCGTTCGGGCCATGTCTAAGCGATCCAAATGTGAAAGAAACCGAGTCCAGGCCTTGCAAGCTGAGCTCTATGTTTGTTCGTGGCTTCTCCAGAGGAGTTTGAAGATTTAGGAAAGGAATTGCACAGCCAGGATAGTGAAACGACATGAAACAACCTTGGCTTGAACGATCTTGAACGCCTTGGAGCCATTGGTTGGAATGTCATATTTTATAATTGACCTATATTGGTCGAATTTGGCAACATGCTTCCCTGAGTGAAAAGTGAATGGGAACCCCGAAAGAATTGTAGAGAAGAAAGCCGCTCTAATTGGATCATGAAGAGAGCCACTCAGGACACTCCAGTAACGCCAGAACACCCAAAGGCCACTTTCTTTTTTGCATTGTTTGATTCTTTTTGCAAAATTAGATCTGCACTGGGAGCATCAGAGATCCGCCGGAAAGCCAGGATGTTTGAATGTTGTGCTCAGGTTTTCTTCGTTTTCACGCAATTTCACGGACAATCATAGACATGATCTCCTAGATTTCGTTTTGGCAGCTAGATGCACCCAGATGAGAATGGCAATGCCATTCTCCGAATCTTGCAAGGTCGGGAAAGATTGTCGCGAGATGTACAGTTTCCCATGTTCGTTTGGCCGCCAGAGGCGTGCATCAGCAGCCATTGTCTTGGGCTGGCCTTTTCTGCATACAGACAACGTCATGTCCACATATGTGGAATCTGACGAGTGAATCCGGCTGCAAGCCGAGCACATGCCAAATCATTGGCCGAACATAGCGCAAAAAAAAAACTGGAGTTTAGCTAGCGTGGGAGCCTCCTCGTTTTCCTCGTTTTGACCATTTGAAATAATTTCCGGTGATTTACACAATAGAGCACCTACATAGGAAACCCATTCATTTTACCAGGAAAAGTGGTTGGAGCTGGTTGATGTTTCCTGTAAATGTCCCCTTACATTACTTCAGAAATCAGTCAGTTTCCACAGCGTCAAGGTTTGAGAACGCCTCGACCATGCTGGTGACATCCAATATCCTGGGCACCACCATCGCGCGGCTCGGTGTTTCGCTGGGCTAACTGTGGGCCCTGGTTGGGGCATCTGTTGGGGCCCTGGTTGGATGTGTAATTTGGTATGGTTTGGTTGTCCCATTGATGATTTGAAGCGAAGAATTTTGAAATGGGATGAACATGGATGAACTGTGAGAGGCCAGACCTTCAAGTGCTGAATTGGCGCTTCAGCTGGTCTGACAGGATTTTCTTCATGTTTGGCATTGACGGGACGAGATACGACTAGATTCTGATTCCATTTTGAATCCGCCATTCACATGTCAATTGTTGGGGCATGCTGAAGCTATCATGCCGGCCTCTGCACCTCCAGTCGCATTGAATGGTCATAGAGTCATATTCCATCGCTCCACCGGGCACAATGATCCCATATTATATCATATTATTGTATATATATAATTATCCCCATATGTTATAACATGTTATAACCATAGTATCTCCATATGATCTCCATATATATATAATATATATATATATCCATGTTATCTCCATATATTTCCCTTATGTGTTTCCCAAGCATCGGCCAGTGACCTCAGGGCCGCCTTGGTGTGTTTCTACGTGGCCCTGGCCTTTATGATGGTGTGACTCAGCGGAACCGTTCGCGCAGGGTTTTTTTCACCTGCAAGATTGAGTGCGTAATTACCCTCTGGTTATTTAACATTATTGGATTATACATACCCTATCATACCCCCTATTCAATAATATGATAGTTATATATATATATATATGTATGTGTGTATACCCTCTGGTTATGACTAACATAGCCATGGAAAATCACAATTTTTAATGGGTAAATCCACTATAGATGGACCATGGCTTCCATGGCTATGTTAAACAACCAGAGGGTAAATGTACATTAAATGATCTTAAATCCTATTATAATGATCTTGAAAGCTCCTATTCACTACGTAGTGAATTTAGGTCGACATTTTTTTTTCGGTTTGAACAACGAGAATTGGCGCATCAATTTCCAGCTGCATTGGGCAGTGGGAAACGTTGGGATGGAGACCCATCAGGTCCTGAAAGCTATGGATGGTCAACCTCTTTGATATTCTTTGATTGTAGGGTCAAAATGGGTCAAAGCTTCCAAGAATTTCCAAGAATAAATTGTAGGGCTTTGGCAATCTGGATTTCCTACAATTTTTCTCAGTGTTCTGTGTTCTGACTGCCTCATTTGGCTGTCCCAGCAGGTGAAACCGACCAAGGTTCTATCAGACCACCTATTCGCTCATGTACTGCATGCTGTTGACAGGTGAATCTGGTCCTGAAGCTCAGTTGCTGATGTTGCTGTCATTGCTGTCCTTGTGTCAGTGATGCCATGTTCGCATATGTTCGCGACAAATCTTGGGGTGTGCATCCCACTTCTATATAGATCACTTAGTTTATCTACAACTATATAACAGTTATATATATATAATATATAACATGTATAACCCACATATAACCCAGTATATACTTGGGATATCTTGGGATATTCCAGATATAACTAGTGTCCAATACGCTGCCAGGTGACTGGTCAAAGAGCTGCGAGATGTCCCCGTTGTCCAGCGGACAGAGGAACACGAGCAATCCCCAAAAAAAATCTAAGTTTTGTAAAATCTGATTCTCACATAATAATCACATAATAGATAATAATAAGGATTAATAAGGTATAATATATATATATATAATATATATCTAATGTATTTATATATATATAAGATTATATACACATAGGTATCATACAATTAGTGATGATTTATATCATCGTTCCATTTTTGTTGATGGTTACGCTAAGATACAGCCGAATACACCGGCGGCTCGATGTTTTTTGGCTGAAGCTGCAGCAGTTCTTTCTACCCGGATCCCTGGGCGGGATGTCCCAAATTCCCAGTGGTTGGTTGATATACCCTCTGGTAAACAGCCACATAACTATGGAAAGATCCACCATTTTTCATGGGTAAATCAATTATTATGACCATTTTCAATAGCTATGTTTGTTTACCAAAGGGTCCATAATTATACCAGACCTAGCCTTTGTTGGTTGATAATGATAGGGGGTTATAGTTGTACCAATATGTTGGGGAGTCCGTATTGACCAACCAGTGTCATAATTCGATGGCCCATTCCTAGTGACACTTGTCCTGGTCGCGACAGGAGAACAGCCTTGGAAGCATCTTTTGAGTAGAACCATCAGATGGGATTGGAAGCTGCAGGGAGTCAGAACACAACCCAACTGGCACTGGTTTCTTTAGCAAGAATATAACATAATATAACAATAATACATTATTATATTCAATACACAGTATGTATATCATTTGGTACGTCCCTGCTTTTCCTTTGTCCTCAAAAAAGGAATGGTCTGGAAACATCTGGAATATAGTGAAACCACCAGAGGCGGGACCTGTTTCACTCAGAGCTCGATTCGCCATCAAGATGAAGGGCACATTTAATTCTGGAATTATCCATCTAACCGATTATCAATCATCCTTTCTATTTATAGAAAATATATAGAAACCCCTATCGCAAAAACCAGGGTTCACGGTCACGTTTCCCTGAAAAGTGATCCAATGACGTCTGGATGTTGTTAGTTGGTTACCAGTCTGAAATTATGAGGACTTTCGAAGAAACATCGTATGTAGAAGGCCGGGGTTGCTTGATGTCCATTCGCATTAATGGATATGAAATGATACCATTTGGCAATCAAAGATGGCAATGCAAAATCACCCATTTAGTGCGGGGATTTCCTAGCTAGCCATGTTTGATGACTGGAGGGTATCGACGGAAAGAACAGCTACAGCTGGTTACAGCTGTATGATGATTTGCCCTTTGGCCCAGTTTTATGCCATGCCCGTTCTTGATCCAGAGCATGAAATATCATTATTTTCCATACCGCAAATGGTGCTGAATAGTTGATGGCATTGGATCTTTCACGACCCTATTGGGTTCATAGAGATTTCAACGGATCCATCACTTCGCAGGGCTAAAACGTCCTGCTGTGATGCGGTCACCTAGAGAAGTTTGCAGCCACTGTGCAGCTGTTGACGCCTCAGCAACGACTTCGCCGGCAAAATTCGAATACTAAGAGTAACTCGCTTTGTCTTCATACTATGGCTGCTCATAAGTATGTCTTATGAGCTCTTATTAGCCTTATTATTTATTAACCATATTGATACAACATCGATACACACACATATATATATATACTCTGGATATCTCAGAAACGTCACAACTTTATTGTTGATGGATTAAGAAGCTATTGACATGCGTTTGATTCCATGAACACATGAGCCACGTTTTTTTTCCAGATGATGGAATTTAGATTGAGGAGGAACTCACATCATTCATGCGTAGGCTATTCTGCTTGGTGCGTAGGTTTCGCGTAGGCATATACGTAGGATAATGTAGGAGAGGCTGCGTAGGCAGTCTCGCGTAGGCACTTGTTTAGATGTTCTAGATTGTTTGTTTCTGACCTCGAACTCTTGTTTTTCGTGGTGGCTTACAATGATTTCAAATGCAAACTGGATTGTATGGTTCATATGTTTAGACAGGGGAGATTAAGGAAACAATCGCTTTTTCAGAAAATTACAAGTGCCAAGTTTTCGAACAGCCATTTTCGGTTCAGATTTTCGCGTAGGCTCCGCGTAGGCCCTCGCGTAGGAAACGCGGAGGCCCTAGGTCAAATTGTGGCCCGTAGCCCATCAAAGTCTTACCGTTTCACTTTTCTAATGTTTCCATGAGTTCATCATGACTGCCGATCACATCATGACACAGTGCTCCACTCTTGATGAGGCTTCCGCCTTCCTTTCACAAGTCACCCAAAGAATCGTCATCTTCCAATTCTTTCTATTCCTCTTCTGAACCAGAATTGTGATCACATCACGTCAAGTAAAGAGATCGTTGCAGCAACTTTCGCGGAGGCAACCGCGTAGGCACTTCTTGAAAGGTAACCCTCGCGTAGGCAGTTTTGCTTGGGAGGAGTGGTTTGCGTAGGCCCCGCGTAGGTGTCCTAATTTGTGTATTGCAGTTTAGCAAGGAAAAAAAACACAACTCACATGGTGATTATTATCACTACATGTTGGCGCTTACCGATAAACATGTTGGTGATGAACCATCAATCGGGGGCCCTTTGGCAATGCTCATAGAAATCATAGAATCATAAATAGGATCTCGTCACATCCCGTTGGTAAAATTGTCAATGGCCCACCAATCATGCCAGTTGAATGTGTTACGTGATGATTATTGTAATGCTATGCCATGCTATGCCATGCTATGCTTATGGTGACTCATTCAAATTGAATTCCTACGTGCACTTGTGCACTAAGTGTTACATAGTGTTACCGTTACCCCGCAGCCGCAGAAATATCAACAGTGTGTAGAAGAGAAACTGTTTGGTGAAGACTGCGGACTAGACATGCACCAAAGTATGCCAATCATTTTGGCAGTTGGATCCACATCATTCTTTTGCTTTGTTTCTGCTAATTTAAACAAATTTATCATACCTTTGGAAGATCACCAGGTTGAATGGTAAATGCCATGTTGCCCGAGTCGGTCTATTCTCCACCACAAAAACATCCCAAGAACTCCAGTTTCTAGGTGAGTGTTTACGAATAAAAAAAATGTTTGAGGCTGCATGGCTGGTTGTTTCACAGAATTATCCTTCATAGTACTAGTTGCTTAAGGGCACTCGGCTTTGGAGCCATGTCTGATCCGCCAGGAGCTATTGAGGTGGGGCTTTGAGCATCCCTTGACTTAGTTGTGATCATCTCAACTCAATCCCCAAGGTTTGCCCGCGGCGAATCCCGCAGATCCTTTGACACAAATCCCTCGGTAGGGGTTAAGTTCTTTAGTTTGCAAAACAACAAACCCTAAAACCCTAAGACCCTAAAATCTAAAAGCCTAAACCCTAAATTAAAACCCTAAATCCTGAAAACTTAAAGTCAAAATCACTGCGTATAGCCAGTGTTTTCATTCGTCCTCTGGTGATGAGTGTATCGAATTGTTTGGATGTGTTGTTTGAGTGTGGGCGAACCCGGGGTTAGACCGGTCATCCAATCTGTTCCAATTCTTCAGGCGTAACAAAAACCACCCGGGATGGGGCCTGGAAATGCGCCAGGATGATCAACTCCAACGTGACATGAAGGCCTTGCAGGCTGGGAGACATGATTTGTTATGAGATCTGAGATCATCATCACACAGGGGTTGGTAACCGTCCCATTTTGGGAATATTGGACATCACCTTATAGTAGCCATTATAGACCATATACCTATATAATGGTTGGGTGATGTTCAATGGGGACATTTAATGACCCATGTCACATGTTGATGATATAATGTGGGTAACATAACAATAAACCACCCATGACTGGGAATGGTTTCTACATACCACCTATAAACATTGCTGATGACTGGGGGATGGTGCAAATGGCATTGTTTTATTTATCCACATTAGTGAAAATATGTGAAAATGAAATGACCATGTTTGATGTATGACCCCACTCTCAATAGGGTGATTTTGACATTTGTTTACATCGGGATGATGTAAAAGGACCTTCAAAGGGCTCAAAGGGCTAGTAACAGGTGACTGGGATTGATTATTATTGAGTTTACCACATTATATACTACACATGAGTCACATGTGAGTAACTGTAAGTAACTATTATATATCAACTAAAAAACAATGCACGTTTTCTAATCTTAGCTAGATGCCTGCAATATTTTGCGATTGTCCGTCCTATATATACATATATATATATATATGATTATATAATATATATATACACATATATAGATATACATATACACACATATATATATACATATATATACATACATATATATATATATATATATCGTCATCAACATCATCATCATCATCATCATCATCATCATCATCAATAAAGTCCATCTTCTGTGCTGCACAGGAGGGAATCCGGCTCCTGTTTACCAACGATTTCCAGAAAGCGGAGGACACTTTCAGGGATGGATCCAAACGTGGCCTGGACAGTTCAGGCTGTTTTTGAGGTGTCCAAGGGTGTGTCCAAGTGTGTTTACTCAGTGGAGGGCAGTTTTTTCAAAACCCCACTTGGAAGTCATATAGATAAACTATACTATAAATCATTTATTATACATCTACGATCGGTATCCTCTGGCCCAGTTCAACATCGTCATGACATGTCCATGTCAACACCTGAGGTGATCGTCCACTGCCGGCGAATGGAACTGTTCGCGACACCCGGGGAGCATTCGCTTTAATCTACACCATGGTGAGTTTTATGCTTCTTCCTTCTGCATTGGCCAACTTCTGATATGCCATGACATGTCATGGCAACTTGGGGGTGTCAACCTGGGGAAGGACGCAAATGTCACGTCGACTTTTCCATGATATGGTCAGTTTTCCCAAGTACTCGCAACATTTTTTTGCATGAAAGGCCTTCCCAGCGCAGATCCCCAGAGGTTTGGCTTGTTGTCCTTCGCCAACGACCAATTGGACGAATGTTTAACGCGGGTGTGGACCGCTGAGAGTTTATTGCTGGAAGATGCTCCTTGGGTGGGGCAAAAGATGCTCCTGGGCATGGTGTACCTCATTGCAGGCGCTAGTGGGCCGCAGCAAAGGTATGGAAAGGTTTGCATTACTAATTTTCTAAAAAAACGTGCGCGTATGATCATATACTGTATAAGGTTATATGATCTATCATAATCATACTTAATCAGACATCAGACAGATGCTCAATCATGCATAACATAATCGTATATAATCATATCATACTGTATCATATACGCAATGTCGCATACATAAGAAATGATTAATATGCATGTAATCCCATCCCTCTATGCAATACGCCAAATATGGGATCCTAAAATGACCAGATCCAAATCTGCCAAGTCTCAAAGCTCCAGGGGCTGACTGGGCTGACATTTTCAGGCGTCGTTCAAGCGGCAAAGAATGCCTGGCTGAAGTCTGGAGTGAACTTGGTGCGATCCCTTCGCTACATCAAAGATTTCGAGGAAGGCAGGGCGGACGATTTTTCTGGGGCCTGGTCTGGGCATGGTTCTGAATGGCCTGGGCTGGGATGGATACCAGTTTAATACAACTTAAATCTCCTGCTATTTAAGGATTGTATTTACTAACCAGCACAAGACTCTGGTTTTGTAGGGTAAGATTAGTTATGACTCGATGCCAATTGGGGGGAAGAATCTTATCGTGGTGGACCATGGTGGGAACAAAAAAGTGAATATCTGACAGGAGATTGGGGAAGACTTACCCTCTGGTAATTTAACATAGCTATTGAAAATGGCCATTTATAGTGAGTTTTCCCATTAAAAATGGTGATTTTCCACAGCTATGTTAGTTTACCAGAGGGTATCATTCTGCTTGGAGAACATGTTGAACCTTTTATGGTCTGTTGAGAGGCTTCGGTTCAGCTGGGTGGTGTATTTCGGGACCAAACAATCCCCCAACTGCTGAGCACACCTGCAGAATATGTGGATATAATATCATCGCAAATAGATGAAATAGTAAAAGAGATAGGGTCAATACACTACTTTGCCATTTTGGTGTCTTATACACGTTGACCAATGGTTTACTACATTGCGTCAGTTGTAAGGAGCCAGTACCAAGTTCAGGACCAATGAATCATTCATCTCTAGTTGGTGTTGGTGCACAGTTGATTAATTTAAACGTCATGATTGAGGTATAAAATATTGATATGGTGTCTGAATTATAATACAATCGGGATTGTATTAATAGTATACAGTTGGGATAAGCTATATTAAATCCCCACTGGTTAAATCCGCCATGGACCAGCTCATATCAGCCTCTTAAACTACGATGATTAATGGCAATGAAGAATTCCCCAGGCTACTTCGATGTCTTTTACCCGTTCATTAACATCTCCATTTAATCATTTATAAATTTTATAAGATTTTATAAGAGATTTATGGCTGATTTATACCACTAACATATTAAAACCTCCATTTCCTTCGGGGATTTCCATGGATTTCCCATGTTTCATGGCACCTTTCGACCGGGTCCTTTCGAAGGTCTCCACTTTGAGGGCCGTGAGGCCGGCTTCGTGCGCAGTTTCGCCTGCTTCGTCATGGGTCTTTTCAATCTGGTCCCCTGGACTCACTGGTGGTTGATGGTTGTAGCCCTCCAAGTTTTGGGAGGTTGATTCTTGGGGTTAACCAGATGGTTAACCACCTTATACTATAGTAAATTGGGAAGAAAAAGGCCGAAAACAATGTCATGAAACATCATTGAAACTGAAACATCCGTTGAAATCGTTGAAATCAATTGAAATCATGTGAAACCCATCACCAGCTTGCAGGTAGGCGCTGGGGTCTAAACGTGCAGATTCAGAGAAAGCACAGGAAAGCACTGCCCAACCTGTGGGCACCATATTTTTACAACAGGAGATGTGAAACCCATGTCTGAGTAAAGCATGTTCACCTAGGACCTACAGTACTGTAGCACTTTGGATCCCTTATGGGATTCACCTGCCATAAACCGACCCCAAGTCATCACAAATCATCAATGGCTGCTATGTATACCATCCCCACCATGGAGGTGTTCCTAAAATGGCAGTACCCCCGAATCATCCAAGTGCTATCCTAGTACTGAAACCCATGATGCTGGGATATGCTGGAAATAGGTGAAGTTTATGGATTTTATGGCAGGGCTTGCCACACGTCCCATGGACCAAGGTGCTGTCCATGCTGCCACCGCAGATGCTGCGTGTGGCCTCCCGGGCGGGCGGCCGGACGCTGCAGGGAAGCCGCTCGGATGCCCTGAAACTGCTGAACGACTGCGACCTGGCGATGACCTGGTGATGATGGCGGGCGCCAGAAACACGAAACGTGAAGGTTGGGGATAGAATGGGTATATACTGGGTATATACCCTCTGGTAAACTAACATAGCTATTGAAAATGGCCATTTATAGTGGATTTTCCCATTAAAAATTGTGATTTTCCATAGCTATATGTCTACCAGAGGCTAATGGCTAATGGTTATGATAATGATCATTGATCAACGGTACCCAAAGGTGATGAGAATTAATGGACCATTTGGGATGATGGTTTCCAATGACCGTGCATGGGAGAAGCTGATTACCTCAATGGGTTCTTGGGGATGTTGATCTCGTCATTGGTGAATCATGGTGAATCTGGTGGTTGAAAAAATATCACCAACTGCCGCCAAGATCCCTACTCAGCCCTACTTGTCCTTGTGCGAAAATATTCAGATTGCAACGTGAAGTTCCGGGGCAGCCCCATTTTGAGACAGCCTACTGTATCAATCCTGAGGTTATTCTCAGGATGGAATCATGGCTCCTTTTGCCGTGCTGGTCCTGTTGTGCTACAACATTTGGATGTCGCTTGGCATGGGGACAACGACAATTCCAGTGAGTTGAGGCATGGCTGGGCTGCCTTCGAACACCTTTTCCAACCCTGGGCATCTCAGATTTGGGCATTCATAGTGTCATCAGTTACATTCAATCCCTATTTACAATACCCTCTTGAGGTCCCTAACACTCTTTCCGTTCAAACAATTGAAGCTGCGTTCAGTTTGTTCACAAAATGGCATGAGGACCAGGATCGTGCTACCCAAAAGCATTCGTTGGACAGGTGGATGAAGAAACTCCAAGTGTCTAACAATGCTGATCGTAAAATGGTGCATAGATGGTTGAAAGGTTCGTTTCCCGCAAGCCCACGACTCATGGTTGAAGTGCCCAGATCCAGGAAGACCTATTTGGGCGAATCCATCACGGACGAAGACTTCGCCAGCTCCAAGTCCCTGCTCAGCTGGGCGCAGCAGCGCTTCCCCGCCAGCGCGGTCTTCGAGTTCTGGCAGACGGAGCTGCACGTGATCCGCACCGAAGTACGGCAAGCCTCGGTACCTGGGAGATCCTGGGAGCTGGGACCTGGGAGCTGGGCCACGGTCACAGAGTTTGCTATGGAAAAAGGTCCAGTTATGGATGATTTAGCTTTATTGACCTGTAAAATACATGATGAATGGTGATTTTCCCGAGCTATAATTATAATAAATAACCAGAGGGAAACTGGTCACGAGGAGTGGATGAAGAAAAAATATTATATACCGTACCTCCTTGTCACCCAGCTAGAATGGATTAATGCCTACTCAAATTAATCTTATTGATTCTTGTTGAATGGTTGGTAAGTGGGGCTATAACCCAGTTGCAAATCGGGGACTTACTGTATTAGTCAAGGTTAATTACGAAGTGTGCATATATATATATATATGTGTGTGTGTGGCCATTTGGTTATTTAACATAGCTATGGAAAATCCATTATAAATGGAGGTTTCTAGCTGGGAAAATCATCTGTAAATGGGCCATCTATACCATAGCTATGTTAGTCATAACCAGAGGGTATGATCCCTCCAGTCCCGAAAATGGGAAATTCACGTGGTTTTTTTTGAGCCACGTTTGAAGTTTTGCAATTTTAAGGATCGGAAACTGATCATTTCTGGGGAAGAAATGGAGATTTCATGAAGCACATGGGGGGTTGAAGCCGCCAACAGTGGGATTTCACTTGTTTAACTTGCAAAATGAGTTTGTCTCACCCCGGAGGTTTCAATCCCATTGCATTGTTAAATGGTAAACACGATCTTATAAACCATAGGATTTCAGCGTTCCCAATGTTGTCCCTTTGGCAAAAATATGGAGGTCCAGGTTTGGCATAGCGTTGCTTGGAAGAAACATGAGGGTTGCCCCACTATATTGTGATAAACCAAGCAGTAAGAAAAGGATATCCGTGCCGTCAGACCTTGAAAATTGATGAAATTTGGAGAAGGGGGAACCTCAGATGATGTTACCCTGGTGTTTTTGGGGAGCCAAGTAAACTTCACCTGAAATATCCGGTCAACACGTGATTCCGTGGGTCTCCTGTGCTGAATTCTAGTTGAATTGTCCAGCCCTGCATGTTGTGTCGCAGGCATGTGTTGAAAGAGTTCATGCAGTACTGGCTCATTTGAAGCTTCCAGCCATTGACTCCTTTCTGGAGCAGAAGAAAGCCATGTACCTCGGAGTGGATCTATGGTGACAGGGGTCTGAAGCGGCAGCCACGGTCTCAGATGCTAGGAGATGGACAAAGGCCATCCATGATCTGTTCAGTTGACACATTGTTGACATAAAATCATACCAAATCGACAAATCGATGCCAATTTATCAGACTTTATCCATTGTTTGATCAGTGACACGAATCCCATTTTGGCATATTTTGGCCACAGCCACTGTTGGTAAGCATGGACAACCCCCTGTTGAATCCTCATCGTTGAGGTTTTCCCTGGCCCTCTTGGAGTGGCCCAACGCTGCAGAGGGCTTCGAACAATCCTTAGCGGTCTCCGTGGCCAGGCAGCGACGATCCTATGTGCCAACGTTGCAGCCTGGCAAGTAAGTCTTGGTAGGTCAAGGGGGTTATATTATGATATATTATGATATATTATGTATGTATTATGTTTTATTTTCCTAGACAACTAGAGGAGTACCATATGATACCATGCAGGCGATCTCCCTGGACCCAACTGAACATGTTTCGCAGGATATCTTAAGATTCTTGAGATCTGAAAGGCGCCATGGCCGCCATGTTGAGATGGCCTTCACACGATGCTGGACCATAGACATTTGCTTATACTGTATTTGCTTACTTCGACCCGTCCCTCTGTTCTCCCAATTTGCAAGACCCTCGGCAACCCACAATTTGAACATCCGATGAATCAACATGATTTACGGATCCCAGAATCAGATTCTTGACCCTCTGCCTTCCCCCTAATTTCTTTTTGGGCACACCAGCGTTCAGGCCCCCAGCTTAGGTCCTACCTCGCCGGCCTGTGCCGAATCATCTCGGGGCAAGCCTCCGAAGCACGCCCGAACTTCGAGCGAGTGCAGCAATACTCGAAGATGCGGAAACGACGCCTTGGCGGCAAAACGGGGCAGATGTTTGAAAACCCTGGCTGTGGTCCGGTGGAAGAACACTATTTTTTTGGCATAAGTATCATAAGTCGTTTGCCGCTACTGATTCTCCCTTCCAAAAACCTCCAAAAAGACATTCAAAAAAAAATGGTTTCCGGAGGAGTCCACCCTTCCAGATCGCTTACACCGGTCGATTATTTGGAGAGGATACCGTCAGACCACAGTTCTCTTGCCAGGAAACTGGCCGCCAGAGGATGATTTGGCTTTCCTGAAGGCTGAAGTTGGACGGATACACTGCTCCAATAATGGGTTGCATTTGAAGCCATGGGATCTTTATTGCAGGGGATATTCTGGGCATATTCTAAGCCTATTAGGAATATTCTAGGAATTTTCATGGCATTTCTACGCTATGTCTGCGGCTGGTTTCGTTGTGCTCCCTGCAGGTGAAGGATTTCGGCACCGGGGAGGTCTCCGAGCGCAGAGCTTTGTTGGAGATGGTGGAGATTTGCATGCTGAAGACACTTAGCGGTCGCTACAACGGAAGTTTCGGAAGATGTCAGAACGAACGGCAAACGTTGGCCATGTGAACACATGATAACACATGCATATGTCTTCATATGTCTTCATATGTCTTCAATATGTCTTCATTTTCCAAAATTGCAGGGGCGGACTTATGATGATTTATTCATATTTATTCAGTCCAGGGGCCGATTTCGCCGGTCGCCATTGAGTCGCCATTGTTCGAATATTAGGTGGATTTCTTGGAGGTTAGGGCGCAGACTCATATTTCCCACAAACCCGGCAATTCTTTCCAGTCTTTCCATACCCCTCCTTTGTTTGGGCATTCCTATTCAGATCCACTGCATTTTGTTTTTTCTCAAGATTCAAGATAGTTGAAGGAGCAGTTGTGCTCCAGGAATTATAGCTAATGGAACTGCCATAAAATTTGAGATTCGGTGCATTTCGATTGAATGACGAAATATGCATGGACAGACATGGATGACAAAGCAAATCGAAAACTCCAAACCCAACTTCGCGCTTAGGATGAATAGGGTAGTCTAGTGAGAAGGGTCTACAGTTTTGTTAATTTTGTGTACCGTTTTGGTTTAGCTGTCTAGAACCACCATGAACCACCCATGTATCTCTCAAGGGTCGAGGGTTGGCAGTTACTGCAACTGGAACACGTATTCCAGGTTTCCATATCTTTCAAGACATGCTCCTTAACATGCGATTCTTCAGTGGTACCATGAACCGTGGAGAAATGCCTTGGGAAAAACAACTTGGGCCGTCCATGTGTTCAGAACTACGGGGGCGTAAATTAAAACTGCCAGGGGCACACATCTATGTTAGGGGCAAAAATCAGTTGAGCGATGTTGAGGTGTATTAAGTTCATGGCCAAATCACCAGTGGCAGAAATGTGGCAAAGGTGGAACAATTTATAGGTATGTATACCATTATGTTCAGTATGCCTCTAAAATCCAACATAGCCTAAATGACGTAATGATGTGGAGCTTTGGTTTTTCCAAAGAGATGATCCTGAAATCATGAGATTCATGGGCCAGCTATGTGCTCAACAAAAATCAATACATGTTGTGCTCCTGCGGGCTATGAGGCATGTGGTTGTGGGTACAGATCTGACACGTCTCCTATATGTTTTAGTTTTAGTTTATTCTCATTGGGAAGCCACACACATTAATGCCCGGAGTGCCCGGTTCTGACCGATACCGATCCTTGACATTTCAGATATGCCACGGATGTGAATCCCGGCCTTGACACTCAAAATGTGCTCGAGTCATCTCGATTCAGAATCAAAGATGGGAAATTAGGTCAACAAAAACACTGTCCTTTTCCTTTAGTGAGGTAAAGCCCAACAGTAAACCACCCCAGGCTTTGTGATTGGGTATGCCCCTATTTGCGAAATTTGAAAAGACCACCCAAAATGTTTGGTGACTGGGATGGTGTATGATTTAATCCCCAGAAAGTTGCCTCAGATGATGAGGATTCACGTCCTCCACACCATGCCGGCAGAAGAAAAACAGCAACTGAAGCAGCCACTTGGCGCTGCAGCCAGAAGATCAAGAGGGGAACCACCCCATTTTCTTCGGGTGTTTTTTCTTTAATGTTTTTTCTTATCCTAAACGGTCAGGCCATTGTTAATTGTTGATTGATGGTTTGGGTTGCTTGCTTGGGCTTTTTGGGCCCTGCGGGAGCCGCATCCAGGATTTTCGTACTGTACACAGGGCGTTTTCATACCGTACGGAGGGCGTTCCACACATTCCAGACCGCAAGCTTTGACCATCAGTTGGTTATTTACTGATCACACACACACAGATAGATAGATAGATAGATAGGTAGGTAGATAGATAGATAGATAGTATATATATATATATATACATATTTATATACATATATCGCCACATAGCCGCGTGAACTGGGTGAAATTCATTGTTTCCACATGTTTCCACCCATTTTTAGCAAAAACAAATCCCATCCCCTGAGGAAGCTTCAGGAAGAGCAGGAGGGCGAAGCGGCAGAGGTGCCGGTTGTGATCCAAGAAGATCTGTCAAAACCAGGGATCATTTGGTAAACAGTTTTGATTGCAATGGTTATATGACTTTTATATACTTTTATAACCAGAACAGCATAATATAACCATATTTAACCAATGATCAATGATTATACATTTTTTTGCGTGCTTATATTGTCATACATTTCGGCTGCTTCACAGAACAATATTGCAGATGATGGTTTTCAATTGTTTGATTTTGCTACCGGAGGCTTCCCTAAACAATGGATATGTTTGGGAGTGAAAATGCATTTCAGGTCCCAAATTGTGGCACCCCCTCCGCCATCCCCAAGTTCTTGGATTTTGGGTTTCGGGCATCAAAACCGGCCAATTTCAAATGGATGATTTGTTCTTCTTCACTGAACATGGATTACCCTCTGGTAAACTAACAACACTATGGACGATCACCATTTTTATAGGTAAACGATGTTTAATTGAATGTTTTTTCAATAGCTATGTTAGTTTTCCAGAGGGTACTTTAGTATATACATTATATACTATACACGATATACTATATACTAGTGCTATAAACTATATACTACTTATACTTTATATACTATATACTATACACTATATACTACATACTTTATATACTATATATTTAATACTATATACTATATACTATATACCATACTATACCTTATTATATAACTTGGGCTTTCTTGGTTTGACACACTTTGTTCATCAGCAGGAGGCAGCCCGGGCCTTGCTGTTCAGTGCAGAGATTTCGCGCTTGCAAGGTGAACAGGAGGAGTCCAATCCCTCTGATGATCCAACAGCTAAGTGATGATACATGGTATACCATAAAAAGTTGTGTGATGGTTGATTACCATATCATATCATATGATATCATATGCATCATAAACCCATTAATTACTTAAAAGAAACGAAACACATTTGTTGGTTGAATCCTCCATCACATCCCCACTAAAAGTGTCCCCGTTTGCTGCTGCTTCATAACATGTCCAACAAATAGTTATATCATGGCTTAATTTTCCAAACATATCTAATCATATATATACATATTTTTTACACACACATATATATATTTATCCATCATATCTATGAAATCCATTAATCATTAATCCCAATAGTTACTGTATATCATGGCTGATGGCTAGTTATATGTATTAAATCCACCATTTGTTGGTTGAGTCCCTGAGTGGAACTCATCGTGATCCCCACTTCACCGTGAAACTTAACCAATGCCAGGCATCCCCACTATAAAGTAATATCATTAACAAGAAAGACATGACGCACAATTACAATCCCACTGTAATTTAGAACGCGTACATATGTAATACTATATATATATACATATACATACATAAGTACATACATACATACCATAACATACCATAACATACCATAACATACCATAACATACCGTAACATACCATAACATACCAATAACATACCATAACATACCATAACATACCATAACCTACATAACATACATAACATAACATAACATAACATAACATAACATAACATACATACCATACCATACATAACATACATACCATACATAACATACATAACACATATAACATACATAACATAACATAACATACATAACATAACACAACATAACATAACATAACATACATAACATACATAACATACATAAAATACATAACACACATAACATACATAACATACATAACATACATGACATACATGACATACACAACATACATAACATACATAGCATACATAACATACATGACATACATAACATACACAACATAACATACAACATATAGCATACAAACATACACACATACAAACATACAAACATACAGACAGAGAGACAGAGACAGCCAGACAGACAGAGAGACAGAGACAGCCAGACAGACAGACAGACAGACAGCCAGCCAGCCAGCCAGAGACAGACAGACAGACAGAGAGACCGAGAGACCGAGAGACCGAGAGACCGAGAGACAGAGAGACAGAGAGACAGAGAGACAGAGAGACAGAGAGACAGAGAGACAGAGAGACAGAGAGACAGAGAGACAGAGAGACAGAGAGACAGAGAGAGAGAGAGAGACAGAGACACAGACAGAGAGACAGACAGAGAGACAGACAGAGAGACAGACAGAGAGACAGACAGAGAGACAGACAGAGAGACAGACAGAGAGACAGACAGAGAGACAGAGAGAGACAGACAGAGACAGAGACAGAGAGAGACAGAGACAGAGACAGAGACGGAGAGACCAAACGAGACCAAACGAGACCAAACGAGACCAAACGAGACCAAACGAGACCAAACGAGACCAAACGAGACGAAACGAAACCAAACGAGACCAAACGAGACCAGAACAGACCAGAACAGACCAGAACAGACAAGACAGACCAGACAGACCAAACACACCAGACAGACTAGACAGACCAGACAGACCAGACAGACAAGACCAGACAGACAAGACAGACCAGACGGACCAGACAGACCAGACAGACCAGACAGACATACACACACATACACATGTACATACACATGTACATACATATATACATATACATTATACATCATACACGCACACATACACACACACACATACACACACACACCACATACACACACACACACCACATACACACACACAGAGACAGACACACACACACACACACCACATACACACACACACCACATATACACACACACAGAGACAGACAGACAGACAGACAGACAGACAGACAGACAGACAGACATCCATCCATCCATCCATCCATCCATCCATCCATCCATCCATGCACGCAGTCATCCATGCCTGCAGTCATGCATACAAAGATGCAAAGATATAATCAGATATAATCAGCATATAATCAAATCATCAGAATCCCATTGGCTGCTTTAATCCATGATCCTCCTCAGGAGGCCAAGCAGCTGGCGCTCACGGCGCTCAAGGCACTCCCGTCCAGCGTCCGGGGCAACGCCAACGGCACGGCGGCGGCGGTGCACCTGACGCTGGCGCTGCTAGGTGCGGCACTGGTGTTGTCACGGGAGATGGGGGAGTTGCTTGACATTGATAGGATATATATATATATATAATACATATGCACATATACATATATATATATATTGTATGTATATATATATATATATCATACATTATCATACCATATCATATATACACGTGTGATAATGTATATTGTATATCATGTATATTATGTATCATGTATATTATATATCATATGTAGATATATCATGTTTTGATTTAGATATCAGCTGTATACGTATAAATAAGTGTATATGTATTTTATTCTATTTTTGTATGTATGTAACGATGCGCATACATTGGCTAATATATATATAAGTTATATAAAAGTCAATAGCTGATATATTGTTCATATTTCGAACATTTATGAACACCTTCTTACTTGGTGAAAGCCCTAAGTTGTCTCAGGCAGCACTTTGTTGTCTCATCTCGGTGTGCCATGCGAAAGATGTGACACAACCATTGGAATGGAGTTGTCATTTGGTATGATCTTTACAGCACAACGCATAGGCACGCAAGGATTCTTAACATTGCAAACATTAGTTATATCCATTTGCCTCCCTAACAATCCCTGGGTTACTTTTATGGAGTTTAGCGGTGCCTTTTGGCTTTTGGTGGAATGGTATATTGTTACAAAATGAGGTTTAGACAAGCTCAATTCAATCTGCAAAGATCAGCAGATGCGCGAATGATTGGGCACTTTGGCCCAAGATTGCTTTGATTGGTGTTTCAATGGCAATGGAACCCCCCCGCAAGAAGCGATCTCGCAATGATGGGGTAAGCCCTTTCTTGTCTCAGATAGCACTTTGTTGTCTCATCTCGGTGTGCCATGCGGAAGAAGTGACACAACCACTGGAATGAATTACTACATGATTTGTTATTTGGTATGATCTTTACAGCACAACGCGCAGGCACGCAGGGATTCTTAACATGGCAAACATTAGTTGTATCAAGTTATATCCATTTGCCCCCTAACAATCCCTGGAGCAACGTGAGTTTCCCACACAGTGTGTACACACTTGGGGGTCTTGTGATCGGTCCTCTTCCTCCTCCTTTTCCTCCTCCTCCTCCTCCTCCTCAGTATCATCATCTTCCTCCTCCACATCATCATTCTCAGCATCATCCTCGTCCTCCCCCTTGACATCATCATCCTCAACATCGTCATCCTCCACCTCATTTTCTGCAACATCCTCCTCCTCCACCTCGTCTTCCGCAATATTAATTATCATCCTTCCCATCCTCCTCCTCAACATGATCATCCTCAACATCATTATCTTCCTCCTTCTTAACATCGTTATCCTCTACCTCATCATCCTCCACATCATCATCCTCCACCTCATCTTCCGCAACATTATCCTCCTCCACCTCATCTTCCGGACCTTATTGCTTGGATTTTTCGGACCTATCCACATCGTTTTTACTATTTACAGTTTTTGATCTGACGTGGGGATATGTGGGGTGGGTTCTGGCTGGGATGGCAAAATGTAATTCCGGTACCTCGTCCGGTACCTCGTCCGGTATCTCGTCCGGTGTACCTCGTCCAAAAACCTTTCCAGAGTCATGATTCTGGTATTACATCCATATTCCATATGTCTCGGATTCCGTTACAGCAGGGCAGGGTGTGATTTCAATGTGATTAATTTCAAACTTTGTTTGTGAAAGTCTTCCACTCTCCTGCAAGTGTGCCATTGGGATCTTAGTTTTTTTTCAGAATGGACACCCGTTAATTTGTTTTTTTGAAAATACCAGAGCGCAAGCTGGTGATGCTGTTTCAATGCTTGGCTAAGCTTTTGGCCTGGAATTGCTTTTGGCGGTGTGCCATTGAGATTTGACTCCAAGTTGACAGGTCGCACCTTCCCATTTTCTGATTCCTAGCATAGCTAGCATATTCTGATTCCGGGATTGGTTAATGCAAGCTAGGAACATGATGCAAAGTTTGCAACGACTTCGTGAAAGTCTTCCACTCTTCTGCAAGTGTGCCAGTGGGATTTTATTTTTTTTGAGAATGGACACCCTTTATTTTGTTTCTTTTGGAAATACCAGAACGCAAGCTGGTGATGCTGTTTCAATGCTTGGCCAAGCTTTTGACCTGGAATTGCTTTTGGCGGTGTGCCACTGAGATTTGACTCCAAGTTGACAGGTCACACCTTCCCATATTCTGATTCCGGGCATAGCTAGATGCAACTAGGGACATGATCCAAAGTCTGCAACGACTTCGTGAAAGTCTTCCACTCTCCTGCAAGTGTGCCGTTGGGATTTTAGTTTTTTCGGAATGGACACCCTTTAATTTGTTTTTTTGAAAATACCAGAACGCAAGCTGGTGATGCTGTTTCAATGCTTCGCTAAGCTTTTGACCTGGAATTGCTTTTGGCGGTGTGCCATTGAGATTTGACTCCAAGTTGACAGGTCGCACCTTCCCATATTCTGATTCTGGGCATAGCTAAATGCCACCTAATAACATGATTTCAAAGTTTGCAACGACTTCAAAACATGATGCATCTGAGCCGCTGTGCCTTGGGGATTTGACACCTGGGGTAACTACTGTCTGCCCTGGGGTAACTCGGTGTGCCTTGCGGTTGTGGTAACTAATGGGTAAATGGGGTAACTTAGGGCGTCTGCTAGTATATTATGATATATATATATAAATATTTACATGACAGTATAACTTAGAGATACTAGTAGGTTTGATTCAGTTTGATTTCGATCGGAAGGTCGGGCAAATGAAACGAGTTCCAGCCGTTGGGAACGCATGAGTATGGGCAGATATGGGCAGTACCCATTCCGTGCAACAAATAACTTTTACAAGATTCAATCTGTTTCGTGCAAATGAGTTGTTGAGTTCCAGCGCAGGCGCGTGGTATTTTCCATGGGTCCATGATCATTGTCATTGAATCATTTTTTCTAGCCTGTAAGCCTCTATCTCATAGGATCTCATAATAGGTATCTCGTTTACCAGTGAGTTCGTGTCCAGTGCGTTTTGCCAGCAGTTTGAAAACCTTTTTTTCTCCTCCCATCCAACATTTTACATCATTTTACTGACTGCCAGAGGAAAGATCCAAGCCCCAAAAAGACTTGCAATTACAAACCCCCATTTTAGTACAGTAGCAGGTTTCACTTTCAACCCCCGTTTGGGAAGATCCCAACTGATTGCAGAAGGGATGGCTTGGCCACATTTAGCCACCAGAGAGCAATCACTTCACCTTCAGGGGTCGACGGTCACCTAACGGCTTTGGACAAGTGCCCCCGCTGCTGCCGGGCCTATGATGAAGCCATCAAATTCAAGAGGCCGGGCGGAGAGAGAGGCCATTTGCACGATCCTTCACCAAATTAAGCTAGAACAGGTTGGAACTTTTTCCAACTTCTATTTTTTGGTTGTTCAAAGATACCTGATGTAGATGTTTCTAAATCAGAATTCAGCGCATGACATCAATAATCCCTTCCTCCTAATACTAAACCTCCCCCCCCCCTAATACAAAACACGGCAGGTAGTTTTTAGTATTGGGGGGTTATTTATTATTAGGGAACCAAATCGAAGTCATGTTAATTAATTAATTAATTAAATTTCCTTATATAACGCAATTAAAATATTGCCAAAAATGGCAGTTCGAAGCTTACCCCTAATACTAAATTAAAACCCTTAATACTAAAAACTATTTTTTCCGATCTCAAAATCAATTAAATTTCCTTATATAACGCAATTAAAATATTGCCAAAAATGGCAGTTCGAAGCTTACCCCTAATACTAAATTAAAACCTTAATACTAAAAACTAGCCCCCCTAATACTAAACACCCCGGGATGAATTAGTTTTTAGTATTAGGGGGGAGAACCCACAAATGGTAGGTTGATTTTTGAATTGTTTTTTAAAGGGGATCAATTAAAAGTCAAATTGGCCAAACTGAAATTTTCGGAAATTGGAGATGGATGCCTGTTTTTAGTATTAGGGGGACGTTTAGTATTAGGAGGAAGGGATTATCATGATATAATAATATATATATATATAACATATATATATATAACATATATATATATATATGGCATATATATATGTATAACATATATATATAGCGCATATATAATATATATATATATATATTATACTTGACATATATATATATATGACATATATAAATATAATATATATATCTACATATTTATATCACACACACACACATATATATATAACCTATACGTAACATATACATATATATATATAACATATATATATATACACATTTTTATATATATATATTTAAATATCCAGAACATATATACATATATATATATATATTTATATAAATAAAAATATATATATATATATATAACATATATATATATAACAGATATATATTTATATATAACATATTTATATTTTTATTTATATATATATATTCAAAACATGTATATTTAGATATGTATATAGATATACATATGTATAAATAAAACACCTATCACTATGTATAGCATATATATATATATGTACTTCCTACAAAAAAATCTAGTTTTGCCTAGGCGAAATGCTTGTTTTTTGATTTCATGCACCAGAATAAGAGGTTTCTGGCCTTTAAACTCATATCAAACCATTACAGGTCGAATTAGTTGGGGAGTTCTGAGAAACATCAAAAATGATAGTTTCGCCTTGGCGAAATGCTTGTTTTTGATTTTATGCACCCCCAATAAGGGGTTTCTCGCCTTTAAAAACACATCAAACAAAATTTTATTGGCACGACCACATCAAACATCATCCATGACACCCCGTTGATCACAAAAACACCACGGCCTTCTAAAGGCCGTGTTCCTAGTTATATATATGTTATATATATATATATATGTTTACATTAACACCATCTATTTTAGATGGTTCATATACTGTAGAAGATGATATTTGTTCTGGCCATTTTTATGAACCATCCACCAGCCATATTCCCGTTTGAACATCTCGGACCTCGCCAGGCTGGGCTTAGAACGTCGCCTGGCAGACGCGGAGACCGAGGAGCGCCATGGCACGCGGCACAGCGAGCGCCTGCCGAGCCATGGCAGCGAGGAGCACCTGGAAGGCGCAGCAGGGCGATGGGGGGATGGGATGATTTATAGAGACGTTCAATAAATGGTAGAACACAACGTTTATAGTGGTATATTGCCACACTTTGAACGTAGAACACAGCGTCATATGTGTTCAATAGTGTTATTACAAGACCCAAGTGATATAATATAGATTAAGAAAAGTGTTATAATGGTTTCTTGTTGTATATATAGCAAAAATAAAAACATATATAGTGATAAAATGTTGCACATGTATACCGTATACATCCGTATACATGTTTTACTTCTAAATGTGGGTTTTCATGTTCAAATGTTCGTGAAATATGATTTAATTATAGCGATGAATGGGTTGAGATCATCAGTACTGGAACCATCATGGGGATAGAGTGGGGGGATATAGTGTGGAGATGTGGTGGGATATGCATCCAACTTGATACCACATGGTTTTCTTTGGCCGTGTCTGAAAGCGGGGATTTACGCCGAATTTATGGCGATTCTAATGATTCCAAATGGCAAAGTGATGCTGCCATTAGTCATTAGAATGTATACCCCTAAGTGCAAATTAATGAATGCCACGTTATCTTGGTAAAAATATTGTAAAATGATGCATTTCGAATGGATTTAAAATGATTTACCCCCAATTTTGGGTGAAGAAAACAATGAATTTCGGCAATTGTTTCGACGTATCAGGTGCTGATGACGAGGAGTTTTTCTCCGCAGAGGAGGATGGAGACCATTGGACGGAGCATGTGGAACATACCGAGAACTCCTCGCTGTGGAAGGCGCAGCCTCGGGCTATTGAAAATGACCTCTTATAGATTTTTATAGATGATTTATTCCCCAACAGCGTAAGCTAATGGGGTCTTCAGCCCAGAATAGCTCCGGTGTGCACTGGTGCAGGCGCTGGGTCACGTTCAACAGGGTTCCGGAGAAGGTTCCGGAGAAAGTTCCGGAGAAGGTCTGGGAGGCTTTGGTGCAGAGCCAGGTCAGGTTCAACAGGGTTCCGGAGAAGGTTCCGGAGAAGGTTTGGGGTGCAGAGCCAAGTCAGGTTCAACAGGGTTCCGGAGAAGGTTCCGGAGAAGGTCTGGCAGGCTTTGGTGCAGAGCCAGTCAGGTTCAACAGGATTTTCGGCCATTTAACTCACGGAAACCCACCTGAGGTGTTTCCAGCGCTTGTTTCGGAGCACGCTTCAGAAAGATTTGTAAAAATAAAACGTTGCGGCTGTTGGGGATACCACCGAAGCTTTTTTCCCTGTTCAAAATGATGTTTTTCGATAGCGGTATATATAGACATATATATATATATAAATATATAATCTATGTATGTATGTAATGTAATGTAATGTACTGTAACGTAACGTAACGTAACGTAACGTAACGTAATGTAATGTAATGTAATGTATGAATGAATGTATGTATTAATGTAATGTAATGTAATGTAACGTAATGTAATGTAATGTAAGTATGTATGTATGTATGTATGTATGTATGTATGTATGTATGTATGTATGTATGTATGTATGTATGTATGTATGTGCGTATGTATGTATGTATGTTATATATGTACGTACGTACGTACGTACGTACGTAATGTATGTATATATGTATGTATGTATGCATGCATGCATGCATGGATGGATGGATGGATGTAAGTATGTAAGTATGTAAGTATGTAAGTATGTAAGTATGTAAGTATGTAAGTATGTAAGTATGTATGTAGGTAGGTAGGTAGGTATGTATGTATGTATTTTTCATTTATAACATATATATATATATGTATATTATATCTATGTTTTATTGGTGGGCTATCAGTGGGCAAATTATGTTTTATAATTAATTAACAAAGTTTAACTTATCCCTTGCCCTGTTCATATCACATACCTGCCATAAACCATGATGACATGGTGGATGGCGTGGATAAAACGCATATTCCGGACCATAGAATGGGGCTGTTTAATATTAGGGGGTGGGATTATACCTGTAGTACCCCATCGTAACCCTCAACAAAATGCCAAAAAACACCAACAAGATCCCCAAAGAAAAACAACAGTGGAATTGTACCTTTACATACGTTTGCATTTTTGTGTGTGTGTGTGTGGGGGGCGGCTATGCAATTATGATCAATTATGGGGGGTTCCCACATTTGACCCCTAAAGCTATCAGACTGACTTGTGGGTACCAACGGCGTGATTACCCTCAGAAACATCCATGATACACCTTGGTTTTTGAGGTCTTACAACTGCAGGATGACTTCTGAAGACTTGTGCGCATGACATAACGCAAAGTAACGTAACGGAACTGTTAGACTTACCAGCATCTGTATCTTTTTGTGTGTGCAATGTCAGGCAGCATTCAACTGGAATAAGTGGAGATTTCGCCGTCCGCCCAGCATCGAAACAGAGCTGGGGGAGGGAAATCCGTGCGCCGCTAGCCTGCAAGGGCGGCGGGAGATATCGCTTCAACGCGGCAGGTTCTTGCGATTCTCCTAGATTCTTTTGGTGAAAAAGTGAAACCTCAAATTGCTGGTGATTTGAAATGATTTGAAATGCTGCAGTACCAAAAGGTAATCCACACACACAAGAGCAAATACATAGGCATGTATATTTCTAAATATTTACACGTAAAAATGGCCTGCACTTGCAGTCCCAAAATGGTGCGAGATAAGCATTTCCATTTGGGAAATTTGGACCAGTGCCGAAAATGACAACTGGCAGGTTATGATAGGTGTAGTTCCTTTCTTTTTAGGATTTTGTGAGCTAATCATAGCTAATCCATGAAATGGGAATGCCCAGCACATCAGGTTGGCTCGCCCCAGTCCTCCTTCAGTTGGGCCTCCGAAGTAGCTGTGAAGGCGGGGGGCCCGGCCAAGAAGAAGGTGTTCTTCCCACTCGATGTGGCATTTTGTTGCTGCCTTTATGGCAAGTTTGTGGGTGTTCCAGGGTTTTCTCAATGGATATGACAATGGTGTGGGCTTTACAATTTTACAACCAATTTCAGGGATGAGATCAGAAAGATTGAGCGGTCAAATCTGGAACCGAGCAATTCAAAGTTGGGCAGTTGAAACCTTTATTTAGTTTGCTATTTTGCCAAAATTTCTTGCCCTTTTTGGACACAGTCAACATTGGACATTGGGTATCTTAAACTCAGATGTTTAATCAAAGCACTTAGTTTAACATGTTCAACCAGCTTAACTTGTTATGTCTGACTGTTACATGGTTGCCTCAAAAAGCCTCAAAAATACTAAGACATTTTAAGATTGCAAAATATTTTTGGTTCCCAAGGTTAGGCCCCTTTCCCATCTGCCCTCCGTCTCCACGCATCAGGCGCTGAAGGATCTGGCGAAGAAGTCGGCGGTGGCTGGAGGCACTGAAAATTGAGTTTTCACCAGGTTTCACCAGATCTTACAAGGTTTTTTCTAGAAGTTTCTTAGGTTAATTTCCCCAAGTCACGATTGGTTTCAGGTCACCTGGGACACCATGCCAGTGAGCAACTGGGCCACCTGGCCAATTCAGGCCAGCGAAGCGCAAGATTTGCCAGCTTAACATAGCTTAGTCTAACTTAGTAGTATATACTTAGTATATGAATGTGGGAATCATCGAGAATCCATCCTTTTGGCCACAAGTCGGGATGATTCGGGATGTAATCTCACCAGCTTATTTTCTGTTGGCGCAACTGCTCGTCATGGGGATATACAGTTTTTCAGAGGATTGACCATGTGAAGGGGGTCATCGCTGGATTGATTTGAGGGTGACAGGAAGTTCGTGGCTTAAGTTGATGTTGAAGTATATAGTTGGTAGGTACTTGATGGAAGTGTTGTTGTCGATGTAAGATGAGTATGATGCATATTATAATACAATGTATGATGTATGCATACTGTATAATGTATGCCCTTCGGTAATCAAATGTGGCAATGGACAATCCACCATGTATAGATGATGTTCCCATGAAATTCTCTCTTTATCGGGGATTGTCCATTCCCACGTTGAATTACTGGACTGGAGGGTATATCTTTATACTGTCATGTCTATATATATATACACATATGATTATATATATATACACATATGATTATATATATACATATTTTTTGAATTATGTAGAATATACTTAGCGCAGAAATAACACTTATATGTAACCTGCAGCATACAACACATAACGGAAACAATACTCACAACATGTACAACATATATAGACTATATCTATATAATATATGCCACTATAGAACATAATAATACATGTGCATTATAGGTAAAATACATACCATGCAATATGTACTATATAGATGGGGTGTAAGTACTTGACATGTATGTATATATATATATATATGCATGTATTACACTATCTATCAACACATACGTATACACACAATATGTATTATATATACAATTATATATATCTACAGCATGTATAGTGTGTAGTATAAACATGTGATATATATATATACTGTATATATATACTGTATATATACTGTATATATATACTGTATATATATATATATATTATCTAAGTGTGTACTTTAAACATGAACTATATCTAAAAATGGTTAAGATAATTTACAGTAGTATACAATATAATATTGATTTATACACACACATGTATGCTATGTTATATTATGATATGCCATGTAATGTACTGTACTGTAAGCCAATGTAATGCTATGTAATGTACTGTACTGTAAGCCAGTGTAATGTTATGTAATGTACTGTACAGTAAGCCAATGTAATTTTATGTAATGTACTGCAGAGCAAGCCAATGTAATGCTATGTAATGTACTCTACTGTAAGCTAATGTAATGTTATGTAATGTACCGCACGGTCAGCCAATGAAATGTTATGTAATGTACTGCACTGTAAGCCAATGTAATGTTATGTAATCTACTGCGCTGTAAGCCAATGGAATGCTATGTAAGGTACTGTACTGTAAGCCAATGTACTGGTACGTGTACTGTACAGTAAGCCAATGTAATTTTATGTAATGTACTGTACTGTAAGCCAATGTAATGCTATGTAATGTACTGTACTGTAAGCCAATGCAATGTTATATAATGTACTGTACAGTAAGCCAATGTAATTTTATGTAATGTACTGTACTGCAAGCCAATGTAATGCTATGTAATGTACTGTACTGTAAGCCAATGTAATGTTATGTAATGTACCGCACGGCAAGCCAATGAAATGTTATGTAATGTACTGCACTGTAAGCCAATGGAATATTATGTAATTTACTGCACTGTCAGCCAATGTAATGCTATGTAATGTATTGTACTGTAAGCCAATGTACTATTATGTAATGTACTGTGCAGTAAGCCAATGTAATTTTATGTAATGTACTGTACTGTAAGCCAATGTAATGTTATGTAATGTACCGCACGGCAAGCCAATGTAATGTTATGTCATGTACTGTACAGTAAGCCAATGTAATTTTATGTAATGTACTGTACTGCAAGCCAATGTAATGCTATGTAATGTACTGTACTGTAAGCCAATGTAATGTTATGTAATGTACCGCACGGCAAGCCAATGAAATGTTATGTAATGTACTGCACTGTAAGCCAATGTAATGTTATGTAATGTACTGCACTGTCAGCTAATGCAATGCTATGTAATGTACTGTACTGTAAGCCAATGTCCCATGATGTAATGTACTGTACTGTAAGCCAATGTAATTTTATGTAATGTACTGTACTGTAAGCCAATGTACCATGATGTAATGTACTGTACTGTAAGCCAATGTAATTTTATGTAATGTACTGTACTGCAAGCCAATGTAATGTTATGTAATGTACTGTACTGTAAGCCAATGTAATGCTATGTGATGTACTGTACTGTAAGCCAATGTAATGCTATGTAATGTACTGTACTGCAAGCCAATGTAATGCTATGTAATGTACTGTACTGCAAGTCAACAACATGTAACGTAAATGCAATGTACTTTCCATGTAATGGTCATGTAACGAAACGCAACGTATTGATTTCAGGATAAAGAGGCACCACTGATCGGCGAAGCATAGCGTAGATCATGGATGATCATGGTAGCTGATTGTAGGTTCTGACCGTCATCATTACCCTCTGGTGGAAAATGACCATTAATAGCGGATTTTCCCATTAAAAATGGTGATTTTTCCCATTAAAAATGGTGATTTTCCCATTAAAAATGGTGATTTTCAATAGCTATGTTAAATTACCAGAGGGTATCATCGCCATCACCATCATCATGAGTTTCTTGTTTGAAGATCATCATGCAAAGCCGGCTTCCCCCTTTTGGACGAACCCGAAAGGGGCCTGAAAGGGGTGCAACTTTCAATTCCATTCTGAATGGTGCTTCAATCTCAGTAAAAAGGACAAACCCACGTCAACCCCTCAAATGCTCAACCCCCCCGAAACCAAGGGTTGAATGTATTGCCGCTTAAATCAATGTGTACTGCCCTCTAAATCCACGTTTGTTGCCGATGAAGTCACTGCTTTGATGGATTAAGCCACCTTCCATGATGTATCGTCAGCAAATCGCAATGTTTCGCGGGTTGTTTTGCCCACTGACCAAGACACAGTAGTTCAATAATAATTCAACAGAATTTAACTTCAAAAAAGCCATGCGGCCCAATCCAAGGTGATGATTTTCTATCCCAATATCATTTTCCCACCGTTTCCCTCGTCGTACCAGTCGTATCCTTCCACTCGTATCACGAAGGGCTTTGGGCTCTGGGCAAGACTTCCGGGCGGCGGCCCGCGGCGTGTGGCAGCAGCACCTCGGTGAACGGGGAACCAAATGGGTTCGAGAAATATTGGTAAATGATGGGTAAAATGGTGAGTGAATCCCCAAAATCACCCAAAATCACCCAAAATGTCAGATATGTCAGGTGAATGATGAATAATTTAGCCAGATGATTGGTTATTGGTTGGCGATTTGATTAGCATAAAGAGAAAAACACCTCATCAGAACTGTGTTGCTAGCAAACACGTAGATTTTCAAAAGCAAAGATCGGGGTTATAGCATTTCGACTATGGACAAAAAAGGAATGAGAGGTGAGATTTGTAGTGTTTTGATGTTTTTTTGGGTTGATGGAATGTTGATGAAAGAACGCACGCACACATTCCTGACCTATTCTATGATATTCTATGTATGTTATTCACATCGAAGGGAACATATATATTATTGTGTTATATTGAACCTATGTCGAAGCAAGTATTTGATTTGAGCCGTTGGGATGCGAGTTGACCAACAATCGATGAAGATGGGGGATATGACATGATTCACCAAACAAGACAGTAGTGGGGATGTAGAGATTGATAAAAGACAATGATACAATGGATGTGCACGTATACACTAATTCCATCTAATTCCCTAGAAGACGTTGGTCCTACAGCATTGAACACGCGGGAAGTGAAATGTCCAAGGTTGAGGCTACCGGACCCTCTCGGGGCTCTCTGATGCTAACGTCATCAAATCCAACTAAGGTAAGCTACACTTGGAGGCTCTCTTGCGGCAGGCTGGTGGATGCATGTGGTGGGTTTGTCGGAAATTGGGGTACTGGCAATGTTCTAAACCAGATCGTCACCATCATTTCCAGTCAAATGCTGGAACTTAGGATGTCCTCATTTTCGGACATCAGTTTCCACATTATTTTCCATCATTGGCCATTTTCCTGTCAAGTCCAGAATGAAACAAATCCTCGACAGTCCAGCATCGCAGTTCCCATCAGCCTCCAGCTGAGAGGCGGACCAAGGTGATTGCTCGGCAGCGACCTCAGAGATCGAGCGCATCCCCAACCGTGGGATGGGCGGATCGTTTAATCCTTTCGTTTTTTACAAATGGACAATAAGCATAACCAGCGACATATTATAGTACCTGCAGATGACATGGGAGTTGTCGAACATACCCAAAAAAACGAAAACTCCCATGTCATCTGTAAAGTGAAAAAAGCAGAAAAATGCATAAGTCCCATGTCATCTGTAAAGTGCCTCGCAAAAAAAAATCACATGACACGGGACCTCTGCAACTGTTTGGGTTCTAAAAGATGCAAAACGTGTCATGTCAACTAAACTGACACACTGTACATTTCACATCCCACACAAAGATGGTATATGAGTGTATGACTACCTGCTAGCAGTTAGAATAATCCAACATTATACGTCAGCTGTTAGAATATTCCAAAGTCACATGAATCCATTCACCTCGTTCTATTTAGCAACTATCTAGCAGCTATTCAGAAGCTACTTGGCAATTCTTTAGCATTTATTCAGCAGCTATTTACCAACTATTTTGAAGCTATTTAGAAGCCATTTGTCAATTATTCAGCAACTATTTAGAAGTTATTTTGCACCTATTTAGTAGTTATTCAGCAACTATTTAGAAACCATTTAGAAGCTATTTAGCAACTATTTAGCAGCTATTTAGCAGCTATTTAGCAACTATGTAGCAACTATTGAGCAGCTATTTAGCAACTATTTAGCTGCTATTTAGCAGCTATTTAGCAACTATTTAGCAACTATTGAGCAGCTATTTAGAAGCTTTGAAACTATTTAGCGGTTATTTAGCAGTTTTTTTAGCTATTTAGCAGCTATTTCAGTAACTATTTGGCGGCTACTAAAGCTATTTAGCAGCTATTTAATACAGGTAACTATTTAGCAACTATTTGGCAGACATTTAGCGTGTATTCAGCAACTATTTAGCAGCTACCTAGCACGTATTTAGCAGATCCCTGTGATCATTTTCTCTACAAAATAGTGCGGCAAATAAGGAGGTGCAAACACCTCTCGAGCCAGTGCAGGGCCACCAGTTCAAACTTTGTCTACAAAATACAGGATTGAGCGTCGTCAAATATATATTATATATATATGTATATATCATGCTATACATGTCATGTGCTTTACATGCATGAAAATTAAATACGATTTTTATTGATACCAAGATTGAACAACATTGAACCTTAGATAACTCACATTTCGTATAAAGAGTTGCATGAACTACCTGTGCATACACAGGGCACACCAAGCGTTTGAAAAATATCTAACTATTATTAAACACATATGCACAATTTTAAGATTTCAAAAAATTACACAATAAGTTTTTTCTCATTTACCCATCATAAACGTGACATTTCTCATTTTCTCGTTGTGTCCCTCCCGTTATAGGCTTCCCCGTTGACCCTGTGTGTTACCCCCGTTGCGCCAAAGTTTTATGTGTGGCTTACCTCCGTTGCCGGGTCGAAGTCCTCGAGCCGGGCTCTTGGAAGTCCCATGTCATGTGGTAAATTCCTCTTCCCGTCTCCCTACCTGCCAGTTCCGGCCTTGGAAGTCCCATGTCATGTGGTAAATTCGTCTCCCTTGGATGTCCCATCTCCTGCGGTTAAATTCCTCTTCCCGTCTCCCTACCTGCCAGTTCCCACCTTAGGTGTCCCATCTCCTGTGGTAAAATTCCTCTTCCCGTCTCCCTGCCTGCCAGTTCCCACGATGCCCAACCTCCCGCGGTAAATCCTCTGCCCGTCTCCCTACCTGCCAGTTCCGGTCTTGGAAGTCCCATGTCATGTGGTAAATTCGTCTCCCTTGGATGTCCCATCTCCTGCGGTTAAATTCCTCTTCCCATCTCCCTATCTGCCAGTTCCCATCTTGGATGTCCCATCTCCTGTGCTAAATTCCTCTTCCCATCTCCCTACCTGCCAGTTCCCACGATGCCCAACCTCCCGCGGTAAATTCCTCTTCCCGTCTCCCTACCTGCCAGTTCCGGCCTTGGACGTCCCATGTCATGTCGTAAATTCGTCTCCATTGGATGTCCCTGATGTCCCATCTCTTGCGGTAAATTCCTCTTCCCGTCTCCCTGCCTGCCAGTTCCCACCTGCTGTGGTAAATTCCTCTTCCCATCTCCCTACCTGCCACTTCCCACCTTGGATGCCCCACCTCCCGCGGTAAATCCTCGTCTCCCTACCTGCCAGTTCCGGTCTTGGAAGTCCCATGTCATGTGGTAAATTCGTCTCCCTTGGATGTCCCTGATGTCCCATCTCCTGCGGTAAATTCCTCTTCCCGTCTCCCTGCCTGCCAGTTCCCACCTGCTGTGGTAAATTCCTCTTCCCATCTCCCTACCTGCCACTTCCCACCTTGGATGCTTCACCTCCCGCGGTAAATCCTCTTCCCGTCTCCCTACCTGCCAGTTCCGGTCTTGGAAGTCCCATGTGGTAAATTCGTCTCCCTTGGATGTCCCATCTCCTGCGGTAAATTCCTCTTCCCGTCTCCCTACCTGCCAGTTCCGGTCTTGGAAGTCCCATGTCATGTGGTAAATTCGTCTCCCTTGGATGTCCCATCTCCTGCGGTAAATTCCTCTTCCCGTCTCCCTACCTGCCAGTTCCCAGCTTAGGTGTCCCATCTCCTGTGGTAAAATTCCTCTTCCCGTCTCCCTGCCTGCCAGTTCCCGCCTGCTGTGGTAAATTCCTCTTCCCATCTCCCTACCTGCCACTTCCCACCTTGGATGCCCCACCTCCCGCGGTAAATCCTCTTCCCGTCTCCCTACCTGCCAGTTCCGGTCTTGGAAGTCCCATGTCATGTGGTAAATTCGTCTCCCTTGGATGTCCCTGATGTCCCATCTCCTGCGGTAAATTCGTCTTCCCGTCTCCCTGCCTGCCAGTTCCCACCTGCTGTGGTAAATTCCTCTTCCCATCTCCCTACCTGCCACTTCCCACCTTGGATGCCCCACCTCCCGCGGTAAATCCTCGTCTCCCTACCTGCCAGTTCCGGTCTTGGAAGTCCCATGTCATGTTGTAAATTCGTCTCCCTTGGATGTCCCTGATGTCCCATCCCCTGCGGTAAATTCCTCTTCCCGTCTCCCTGCCTGCCAGTTCCCACCTGCTGTGGTAAATTCCTCTTCCCATCTCCCTACCTGCCACTTCCCACCTTGGATGCCCCACCTCCCGCGGTAAATCCTCTTCCCGTCTCCCTACCTGCCAGTTCCGGTCTCGGAAGTCCCATGTCATGTGGTAAATTCGTCTCCCTTGGATGTCCCATCTCCTGCGGTAAATTCCTCTTCCCATCTCCCTATCTGCCAGTTCCCATCTTGGATGTCCCATCTCCTGTGCTAAATTCCTCTTCCCATCTCCCTACCTGCCAGTTCCCACGATGCCCAACCTCCCGCGGTAAATTCCTCTTCCCGTCTCCCTACCTTCCAGTTCGGGCCTTGGAAGTCCCATGTCATGTGGTAAATTCGTCTCCCTTGAATGTCCCATCTCCTGCGGTTAAATTCCTCTTCCTGTCTCCCTGCCTGCCAGTTCCCTCCTTGGATGTCCCATCTCCTGTGCTAAATTCCTCTTCCCATCTCCCTACCTGCCAGTTCCCACGATGCCCAACCTCCCGCGGTAAATTCCTCTTCCCGTCTCCCTACCTGCCAGTTCCGGCCTTGGAAGTCCCATGTCATGTGGTAAATTCGTCTCCCTTGGATGTCCCTGATGTCCCATCTCCTGCGGTAAATTCCTCTTCCCGTCTCCCTACCTGCCAGTTCCCACCTTGGGTGTCCCATCTCCTGCGGTAAATTCCTCTTCCCGTCTCCCTGCCTGCCAGTTCCCACCTGCTGTGGTAAATTCCTCTTCCCATCTCCCTACCTGCCACTTCCCACCTTGGATGCCCCACCTCCCGCCCGTCTCCCTACCTGCCAGTTCCGGTCTCGGAAGTCCCATGTCATGTGGTAAATTCGTCTCCCTTGGATGTCCCATCTCCTGCGGTAAATTCCTCTTCCCATCTCCCTATCTGCCAGTTCCCATCTTGGATGTCCCATCTCCTGTGGTAAATTCCTCTTCCCATCTCCCTTCCTGGCAGTTCCGGCCTTGGATGTCACATCTCCTGTGGTAAATTCTTTTCCCATCTCCGTACCTGCCAGTTCCCACCTGCTGTGGTACATGTTTTCTCCCTACCTGCCAGTTCCGGCCTTGGAAGTCCCATTCCGGCCTTGGAAGTCCCATGTCATGTGGTAAATTCCTCTTCCCATCTCCCTACCTGCCTGCGGTAAATTCCTCTCCCCCTTCTCCCTAGCTGCCAGTTCCCCCAGTTCCGCCTGCCAGTTCCCATCTTGGATGTCCCACCTCCTCATCTTGGATGTCCCATCTCCTGTGGTAAATTCCTCTTCCCATCTCCCTATCTGCCAGTTCCCATCTTGGATGTCCCATCTCCTGTGGTAAATTCCTCTTCCCATCTCCCTACCTGGCAGTTCCGGCCTTGGATGTCCCATCTCCTGCGGTAAATTCCCCTTCCCATCTCCCTACCTGCCAGTTCCCACCTTAGATGTCCCATCTCCTGTGGTCAAATTCCTGTTCCCATCTCCCTACTTGGCAGTTCCCACCTCCTGTGGTACATGTTTCCTCCCTACCTGCCAGATCCGGCCTTGGAAGTCCCATTACGGCCTTGGAAGTCCCATGTCATGTGGTAAATTCCTCTTCGCATCTCCCTACCTGCCAGCTCCCACCTTGGATGTCCCATCTCCTGCGGTAAATTCCTCTTCCCGTCTCCCTATTTGCCAGTTCCCACCTTGGATGTCCCATCTCCTGTTGTTCCCTACCTGCCAGTTCCGCCTGCCAGTTCCCATCTTGGATGTCCCACCTCCTCACCTTAGATGTCCCATCTCCTGTGGTAAAATTCCTCTTCCCATCTCCCTACCTGCCAGTTCCCACCTTGGATGTCCCATCTCCCGCGGTGTAAAGTCCCATGTCATGTGTAAATTGGCTCACTTATTCTCATGTCATCTGTCAAAAAAATGGAAAAATGCCTGCCCGTTAGGTCGGCGCATAACTCCCATGTCATGTGTAAAATAAAAAACCATAGCAAAATCGATACATAAATCCCATGTCATGTGCCAAAAAACATCGGCTAAATCGGCCGCAAAGTCCCGTGTCATCTGCGCCTAGTATATATGATTATATATTTTTGGTGGACTACTGAATAGACTGACCATGATTATTGGGGAGTTTGATTGGGATATCAATGAGCTCCCTTGGATCATTTCTTACATAGCTATGGTATGCTATGCTATGGTATAGATGGTCCATTTTGTTGGATGGATCAATTCCTGTTCAGAATGGTGATGTTCCATAGCTAACTGTTCAATTCTCAGAGGGTCGAGATGAGGAACTTGTACGCTGGTGATTGGAGAAAGTCCATGAAAACTCTCTTCATTTTTCGGGATACTCCTCATAGGTGTGGGCCAATCTGAGTCGAAACAACGAGGACTCAATGGGACTTCCCAATGGTCCGGCCGAGCGAATTCTGCAGGTGGTCTCGATGTCCACGCCTGGCCCCGGCGTGTCCGAGGCGAGAATCTTTGGGTGCATCACAGCAGCCCAAATACTTGGAATGGGACAGTCACTGCTTGTGACTATACTCCCCAGAGGGAGAGAGAGTTGGAAGTGTTAAAATAGGTTTCAGTGCTCCTTGACTGGGATTCTCGCAACTTTCAATTCTTTTATATAGTTTTTATATAAGAGGCTTTTGCATCTGGAATTCCAACCCCGTGGTTTTGGAAGATTATTCTCGGCATATCATTGGATTCATGGATTTCAATCACTGGAACGATGATGCCAACGTTTGTTCAAAGTTTCAAACGAGCTACCCACCGGTGCCTAACCCCGAGTGACAGCCCCGAGAGGCAGAAGTTGTGGCATATCTTCGGTGGGTGGCGTGCCAAGTGGGGTTGGCGACCTTCGTTTTTTTGGTGCCTGAAGCTGTTCTTGGGTCTGAAAGTGCGGCCCCTGCCGCAAAATATGCAAGTTTCAGTGGGGAAAACAATGATAAAGCATTGGATGGAATGAGGTACGGTAATTACCCTATTTTCAAACAAAGTTTTGAAACTAGGTAACTAGGTGTTTGTTTTGGTCATTTGCAGTACCCATGACAAGCTAAACTGGTCAGAGTAGTGAGTGATTTCGTCGACCCCGTTTTTTTTTTGCACTTGGCTAACATTAGGTTCCACATGTTTGTTCGTTTGCAGCTGCATGACTGGAGTGTTTCTTTGCAGGGTTTGGAGCCCCCAACTAGTACATGCATGTACATGCTATTTTCGTGTTTTTCATACCAGCCGAAGTTACAAACGCACCATAATTAACCTTGGCAGATGTGACCCAAACTAGAACTTCTGATGCCTTTCCCTTGGCCGGTGCCTAACCAAGGTTCTGAGGTAGTTTACCCTTATGTAGATCTTTATGGCCCCCCGTGGCTCAACTGGATGCACAATCGCCGTTGTCACTTTCGGATCAAACCCTGCAGTCCGACAGGTGCGCAATGGTCAAAGATATTGGGGATATATGGGGATATAGTATACGGAAAGGTATCGCCCCGCCCAGCTGGTGACATCAGTTTCATTATTTTTCATTTAGTTTCTATCTATTTGAACAACACTACATGTTTTGTGATGGTGTTGTCAACTATTTTCTGTGGGCTTAAGACAGGTAATCTGGACCAATACCCACGCTGCACATCTTGCCTTCGCCCGGGTGTCGCTGTGTGCTTCACTCCATGCCCTTAGATCTCAATGAGGATGTTTGGAGGCCCAAGGGTGTATCCACTGGCTTTCGGCTTCTGAGAGTGACCATTTCATGGCCTGAAGTAGATGGAACTGGAGGATTGATGTAACCATCAGGGTAATGCGAGCTAAGTTCAAGACACGCCGGCGGGATCCAGTGGGTGTCGTTCATTTCCAGCCCCAAGCCCCGGTTGAGAATCCTCACTGCTGCATGGCGTGTTTCAGGACACTGCACAAAAGAGTAGCCCTGTTCGACTTTGAGCCTACATCTTTAACGGACTGGCCTTTCACTCGGCAGAAGCCGTTGGCTTTCAAGACCGGACAGGTAGTTTCTTGGACGATTCAACTGTATCCATTTTTGAGGCTAGCAACTGGATTGCTATACTGTAATTGTCCATCATTGTTTTTTGTTTGTTTCCGTCACCGTGTGTAGTTTGTTTTCTTGCGCCTTGGTGGTAGGTTGGGAGACTCGTGATTATGAGGATGATGTTGTATGATTTTGTGATATTGTTGTTTTGCATTAATTACAGTATGCTTTGCGCGGTTTGTCCTCGCGAACACTTGTGCTGTTCATTTGATATCCACGATCTTTTCATGTTTGCATGTTTTTTTTTGGGCATGTTCGTTTTTTTTTGGGGGGGACATGGGACTCCAACAAATATCATCAGATATCAACTTCATAGCCTCGGGATTCCAGTTTTGCTCCCTTTTTGGTCAAGGGGCCCATCATTCATCATGATTCCCTGCTATGGCGGCTATGGCGGCTATGGCTATGGCAGCTATGGATTGCTACACTGAGGTTGAAGTTGTCTATGATGATGGTTCTGACTGGCTACTGGGGCGCGTGGCCGGCCTGCCGGAGACGGTGGGTTATTTCCCCAAGGACTATGTGGTCTCCGTTGAAGAGTACGAGGAGTCGGATGAATGCAACCAGTGGCTAAGGGGCAAAACGTGTTTTACTAATCTTTATATACTACATTATAACTATACTACATTTTTCTGGCAATCAATGTTTATCACACACTTCTACAAACTACAAACTGAGGCTTAATATTCAGGTATCATCCAATGGCATTCACCGAACGTTATTAAATTATATAATTCATATCTTTATATTATATATACATATTGAAATTATACATATTGAAATTATACATAATATACACATATATATATATTATGTTGAACACTGACTTGTTCCTGTTTATTGCAATGTTTATTCTCAGCAATATTATTCCTCATAGTTGGACATTCAAAAGATACATTTATATGACATATTAATGTAATAATATTTGTATATTATGTATATATATATATGTTTGCAATGAACAACGGACAACTAGTGACATCATGAATGGACTTTATACCTGTATTCATTATTATTAGTTTGTATGTGTATGTTTTTTCTTATTTTATATTTACATAATTTGTTACTATAAGCATGTGTTACTACATTCTTATTATGTTCTAACTATATATCTATATAGTTTTTTGATGTTTTCTGTGCTTATTGTTTTTATCATCATTATATCTATCATATTATTACATTAATATAATATACTTGCATGGGTTCTTATCATGGCCTCGGGATTTTTGTTCGGGCCCCACTTCCCACCAGGAGCTGCTTCAGGAATTCCGGAAGGACGAGACCATGGAGGGAGAGCCGTTTCGATTGCCGTGAAAATCGTTCCATGGATTTCCATGCTTTCCCACATGCCAACACAGGTGATACAGTGGAAAACATATGAAATATATGAACACACAATATCAATATATATATATATATATATACGGTATATATATATATATATATATGAACCCCTGGCTAACCTTTCGGAGATGGCGATGGAGGGAGAGAGAGAGAGAGAGAGAAAATATGGAAAAAAAACGCGCAAATGGAGGGCTAAAGATGGTTTAATGGGAACATCATCGAAGTAAATGGGAGGTTTCCCAGCTAGTCATGTTTGATTAACAGATGGTACAACTGCATTTTTTGGGTCGATTGAACATTCCCAACATACAAAAAATAGAATGCTAAGTTTTTGGAGTTCCAGCCAAGTGTTCAGTGGCGACGTGGACAGAAATAAGGTCCCAAATTGAAACATCCCTCTCGTCAAGGATGATGCGATGATTCTGGATGATTCTTGGATGCGCATCCCAGTCAGAAAGCGAATTGTAACAACCAAATTGTGTCCCAGTTCTATGTGGAATATATTAATATAATATATCCCAGATACACATTGTTGCATTATATTGTTACATTACGTATATTATATCCAAGATAGTAAGTCGGTTAATGTATTCCCCCATGTTGCAAATGTCCTACACCCAGTTCTTAAACACCACATATGCCGCTGACAGGCCTGACTACTGACGGTTTACACCCCATCTTTTCAGCCACCTTTTGCCCGGTTTCTCCGAACTGGTAGGAGCCCGCATCCTTGCCATCCACTGGACAAAGATGTGGATAAAACAAGGGCTTGCCTGAGCGGTTGGATTTTGGATTCCCCCAAACATATCAGAAAAAGAAAACAGGAAAGGTTGTGGAAAAAAAACAGGTTAATGGTTAATCCAATGGTGGTCAAAAAACCGCGCACACACACCGTTAATAAGTAGACCCCAAGGTGATTCTCCGAAGGCCTAACTTTTTGGAGCCGTGAAATTTAAGATGGAACCCTAGACTGGCATTTTTTCAGCAGCAAAACATGCAACTTTGTTCTTTGTTTCTTCGTTTTTTTTGTGTGCGAGGTTCACGGTAGACTTGAGGGAGTTTAAGGGGTATAGGTTCTTGGGACACAGTATAAGATAGTATCAGATCATCCTCTCTGAAGCCTTTCTCTACTGACGTGTTCCACTGTTGCGGCAGCAGGGCCCGAGCACAAGGTGTAGCTGCCGATTTTTTTCAGCGGTCCAACTGTTCAAACAGCTCAAAACCCCGCGCTGAAAGCAGCCAGTCAACCCACCCATCCACAGATCAGACAAGCCAACTCTATAATCTCAACAAACCTTTGCAACAGAGACATTTGTTTCTTGAGGCCTGTAGCTGTCGTTCACGCTCATGAGATTCACGGCCCCTGCTGCGTGAAAAGATGGGTGATGTCAAAGACGCAGACGATGATCCGCGTCCTGGCTGCATCATTTTTCATACCGAGATTGCATTTTTGGGGTGCACTATTGTCTGACACAGCCACATCTATGTATACCATCTTACCATATCAACCACAGAATCTTCAGCTGCCAGGTCAAAGATTGCAGACCAGAGCAAGGTCGTGGCGCTCTATGACTTCGAACCTTCCAAGATCGATTGGCCTTTCAACCGGCAGAAGCCTTTGGCGCTGAGCACCGGCCAGGTGGTCGAGATCGTTCATGACGATGGCTCGGAGTGGGCCCTGGGACATCTGGCAGGAGTGCCAGAGACCTTGGGCTACTTCCCCAAGAACTACACCGTTTCAGTGGGCGAGTACCAGGCCGGGTGCCGCAACGAATCTGGTGAAGCGGTTTGGGATTGGGGTTGTGATTTTTTTTTTTCGGAATCCCAAGGTCATCTTGCGAATGAACTATTAGGCTAAAGGATCTTTCTCATTTCCCTAATCACCCCCAATCAGATTCCAAATCAAGGACCCAAATATCAAACTTGATTGATTCATAATCCCTGGCTGCTGGCTGACTGCCAGACTTGCAGGTGATGTGTGGCCATCCGGCCAAAGTAAAACATACATACATAGTTACATACATACATACATACATACATACATACATACATACATACATACATACATACATACATACATACATACATACATACATACATACATACATACATACATACATACATACATACATACATACATACATACACGCATTGCACATCATTGCACTACATTACATTGCATTACATTACATTACCTTACATTACATTACTATTACATTCTACTACATTATATACATTACATTGCATTGCATTGCATTGCATTACATTACATTACATTACATACATAAATACACACATTGCATTACATTACAATTACATTCACAATTACAACTACAAATAATTACAATTACAATACATTACATTACATTCATTACATTACAATACATTACATAACTCATAACAATAAAACTTGCATTACAATACATTCCATTACAATACAATACAGTACATTACATTACATTACACACTATATTTCATTACATTAATACATGCACGCAGACAGACAGACAGACAGAAAGACATACATATACATATAACATTTAAACACAATAATTAAACCTTTGAATAACACGGTCGTAACGCACCACAATTTTACGCAAGAAAAAAGATCAGACATGATCTGACATATGTTACGGCCTTTCTGATACTGACCTGGCAGGAGATGATGCGCGACTTCGAGAATCAGGAACAGCAAGATGGAGATGAGGATGAGGCTGATCAGGCCCCACTGGGTCTTCTGTCCAGGGGATTTTGGTATATTTATATAGGTCAGTTTGGAAAAGGACAGGCTGCGACTGCGGAATTCAAGATGGAGCATTTGAGGGTCAAATCCCCCATGTTTGTCATTGTTTGTCTATTGCTGTACATCTCCAGTTTCACTGAATCAGATTACATTTACATCTTGAATTTTGTTGCTACAATCTCCACTCTTTAAACCTCAATTCATTCGCCTTACATCTTATTTTTGTTGGGTTAAATCTTCCTCCATGGGTTGTCGTTATTTTTATTATTTTTTGTGGCTGAAACCTGGCCAACCCCAGCATTTGGATGAATAAGAAAAAGAAAGGTTTGGCATTTTTCAACCCAACCTAGGATGACGATCCCACTTGAATCATGAATGAATAATCTATCAATATCTATAATAATCTATAATAATCTATAATAATCTTCCCAAGATTCAACACCCCTTCTGTCATGGATCACCATGATCCGCGGGGATTTCCGTCAGGTGCAAGGGCCTCCCGAGACGCGCGCCATCCCCGCTGGGCCTTTGCCTGCTCCTCTGGTGGAGCAACAGACGCAGGTGTGGCTCGCAGGGGCGGCAGGGCTGGTACCTCTACCATTGAAACATTTAGGAACTTGGGCTGAAAAAATGAGTGTGTATCATATATATGTAGATATATGTATGTATCATATGTAGTATATATGTAGATATATATGATATACATCTAATTTTGTTTAGATTTTGGCAAAGACAAATGAGACAAATTGATGGGATTTCAGAAACTGAGCAAACTGGGACTGAAGCAGCAGGATGACTGGTGATGAACAGCTGAATCTTATTGTGCGGTTCGCGAACGGAAAAGATGGAGAAGTAAATAATGACTTAGTAACCCAGATGGGAATAAATGGGAATATATATAGCCAATAATGGGATAATAGATGATTATGATGATAATAGATGATAATCTGGGTAAATTAGATCACGACCTCACGTCGCGACCGAACCCAGGAATCATGGTTACTTTTGGGGAAATCATCTCCAAATGGCAGCAAGATTCAGGCTTGTGAAATATTATAATTTGCCCAGATATATACAAGAAGCTCGCGTCTTTCCCATCTGGATGTTTCATTTTGGTTCGAAAGTCAATTTCCCTATATTTCCCTGAAATCGGTTCCGGGAATTACATGCAATGTCAATCTCCAGATACCCTCTGGTAAACTAACATAACTATGGAAAATCACCATGTTTAATGGAAAAATCCACTATAAATGGCCATTTTCAATAGCTATGTTAAATTACCAGAGGGTATCTCCAGATCAACAAGTCCTTTGCAATGATGATTTACTCCCCATTGAGGCCTCCATGGTGGCTTAGGCTGCCTTGACTTGACCGGCTTTCGCAGCCAAGGTCTACTATGATGAGGTGAAAGAGAAGGAAAAGGACAGTTCCACTTTTCTTACTGGTGCGTTTTACGTAGGGAATGGATGGGTTGCTGGGGGTTGCTAGGATGATTATTACTAGTGATGACTGGGATCATTCCCAAAAATTCCCTACTAAGCACCAGTAAGTTTTGCGCATATGCCTCTCTCTCTCTCTGTGCGTCAAGTTTTTAGATTTTCAAGTTTTCCTGCTCAGGAGACAAAGAAGAAGGACGAGCCCAAAGAACTGCCCGAGCTCGTCTACCCGGGGATCTCCGAATATCCTGCCATTGAAGCTAGACCCCCGCAGCCCACGGCCTTTGAGGTCCCAAAGTTTGGGGGGTCTCAGGTGTGCCATCCTTTTTTTGGGACGCATTTTGGCTTTTGAAAAAAAGATCTCACTTTTTTTAGGATTCCTTCCTCAAATTCTCCTGTTTCAGCTGGTGTTTCATCTCCCTATGGGATGGTGGTGAGAATCCCCCCCAGTCAATTTGGCTTTGTCGACCCCATCTGTCACCAGTGGTTTACCATGTTCCCTGTTATACACATGTGATAACTTGCGGTAAATCTTCAACCGACACACCCAAGGAGCATATCAACTAGTAACTTACGTCAGATATCACCATCATGTTGCCATTAGATCCCCATTACATCTAAATAAAATCGATCAGACAAACAACATTGTTCATGTTAAATACGGTAGAGACACATTAACATTTTTCATCAATTCTATCCACCATGTTTTATGTTTGTTGAACCATGATTATATCCTGCGGTACCCCATTGTATCCCTAGCATAGTTGGTCTTATGCTGCCACACTTCTTGTTGGTTAAAACCCATCAATCTCCCATCTTGTTTCCATTTAAGGATATATATATATACAGTATATACACATTCATGATATCTCCCTGTTATACCACCATTCTACTATATTTTACTTGGCTAAGTCTCCAATTCTTGGTTGCTGAACTCTGAAGTTCCCATTTTCCTCGGTCAAGTCGATCCATTTTGATCCATTTTGATTCATATTTTGCTGGGTTTAACAATGTTTCACATTCCCCATGGTCAAAATATGTCAAAATATTAAACATTCTATGATTCCCATGGTTTAACATTCCCCATTTTCCCGGGTCAACTCCTTCACTCATGACATTTCGATATTTCTCCAGCCAGGTGACCAAGAGCCGCATGCTGCGGGAGATGCCTCCGGTGCCACTGCCGGCACCTGAGGAGCCGGCGCCCCCCGAGGACGACATCATGGCGGCGCGCTGGGAAGTGGAGGCGGAACTGAAGGCGCAGGAGGCGTGGTGACCGTGGTGGTGGGGATTTTGGATGGGCACACCTTGGTTTTTGTGGTTTACCCTCTGGTAAATTAACATAGCTATGGAAAATCACCATTTTTAATGGGAAAATCAACTATAAATGATCATTTTCAATAGCTATGTTAAATTACCAGAGGGTAAAATTACCCTCTGGTAAATTAACAGCTGGACCCTGAAAATCACCCGTTTTGAGTGGAAACATGTGGAAAAAACTCCGATGACTGGCAGGGTCGAACTGTTAATTTACTGGAGGGTAACTGGTGCACCCATCAGTGATTTAGGATCCGTGGCTTAGAATCCCATGTAGAACCCATATTTCATGCCATACTGTAACTAGCGGATATTCATGGATATTCCATTAATTTATATATCTACCCTCTGGTAAACTAACATAACTATGGAAAATCACCATTTTAATGGGAAAATCCACTATAAATGGCCATTTTCAATAGCTATGTTAAATTATCAGAGGGTACTTAGAACTGGAACTGCACCCCGCCAAAAATGCATGGAGGACCAGCCCACGACTAGCTAAACTGGTTTGTGTTTGTGGAGTTAGTTCATCCACTTATACATGGGATGACCCAGTAATAAAGTCTTTGAGATGATGAGTTGTTTGGTATATGTTTTTTTTGGTATTTTGTGATATTATATACGGATTTTGGTGGATTTTTCATTTTTGAAAACAAACACATGGGGTTGAATTTGAGAAATGGGTGGATTTGAGGGATTGCCAGGCAAAACATGTAATTCGTGCTTCGCGGTGTGCAGTTGCATAAAAAGTTTGATGGACATTGTGATGTGCTCCGTTGTCACGGTCAGAAGAGGCATTTAGATGATCAAGACATGTTTGAACATGTTGTAATTGTGGTTTTAAATCACCAGCTGCAGAGCTATTCGGACTGATGCTTTTGATGTCCCCCCAAGTGTTGGGGATTAATCACCAGGATATCATGGATATCAAAGGTGCCTTGGCTCACGGATCACTGGGTGGATGAGCTGATTTCCCCTTTAAGGTGATCTGATATGGAATATATGTGGAATAGGGTCACCTCTAGGTAAATCATCTATAAATATGGGTCATTTTCCATAGCAAACTGTAAGACTTTACTGGTAAAGTATGTGCCCTAAGTGCCAACAGAGACGATCTAAAGATTATCACCCTATGTATACCCTGGGGAGGAACAAACACAATCACATGGTTAGCTGGGAAATCCTATAATATTCCCGAACTAAATGGACGCTTGAAGGTTTAAAGAAAGTTAATGTATGCGTGTATACATACATACATGCACACATACACACACACATACACACACACATACATACATACATACATACATACATACATACATACATACATACATACATACATACATACATACATACATACATACATACATACATACATAATCATACATACATAATCATACATACATAATCATACATACATACATACATACATACATACATACATACATACATACATACATACATACATACATACATACATACATACATACATACATACATACATACATACATACATACAGACACACACACACATACATACATACATACACACATACATACATACATACATACATACATACATACAGACACACACACACATACATACATACATACATACATACATACATACATACATACATACATACATACTACATGTATATATATATACATGACTATATTACATATATATATATATATATGTATTACATACATACATACATACATACATACATACATACATACATACATACATACATACATACATACATACATACATACATACATACATACATACATATACACACATACAGACACACACACATACATACACACACATACACACACATACACACACACATACACACACATACATATACATACAGACATACAGACATACAGACATACAGACATACAGACATACAGACATACAGACATACAGACATACAGACATACAGACAGACACACACACACACACATAGTACGTATGTACGCACACACATAAACACATACACACACATACACACACATACACACATACACACGTACACATATCCATATGCATATACATATACATACACATACATACATACACACTCATACATACACATACATATACATACATATACATACATATATATATATATACATACGCATACATACACATACATACACATACCTACAAATACATACACATACATACACATACACACACACATACATACATGCATACATACATACCTACATACCTACATACCTACATACATACATACATAACATAATATAACATAGCATAACATACATTACATACATTACATATATTACATACATTACATACATCACATACATCACATACACTACATACATTACATACATTACATATATTACATACATTACATACATTACATTCATTACATACATTACATACATTACATACAACACATACATTACATACATTACATACATTACATACATTACATACATTACATACATTGCATACATTACATATATTACATACACTACATACATTACATACATTATATACATTACATTACATTACCTTACATTACATTACATTACATTACATAATATTACATCACATACATGCATACATGCATACATGCATATTTATTTATATGTATATGCATATGTACATACATATGTACATACATATGTACATACATATGTACATACATATGTACATAATACATATGTACACACATATGTACATTACATTACATTACATACACACACATATATACATACATATACATATACATATGCATGTGCATGTGCATATACATATACATATGCATATGCATGTGCATATACATATGCATATGCATGTGCATACACATATGCATATGCATATATACATACAGACATACATACATAATACATATGTATGCATTCATATGTATCATATGTTTACCAATGTGTACATATATGTATAGATATAAGTATAAAAATACTTGGAATATTTTGCATTGTGTAGCCCTCCTGCAATAGCTCATGAATGTTCTTGATAGGATACCATGTGCAAGGGAAGAATGGCCATATCCAATTCATCACGGGGCTTCCCACTGCCCCAAGAAACTGCACCATCATCAAGAGTAAAGCTGCCACCAATGAGCTAGGGATGATTGTTGTTTGTATCATCAGGTGCCATCTTTGCATATATATACATAGTATTATATAGATATGGGATTAATTCAATCTGTCAATGAACTATATTCCACCCATAGGCATTAGGGTCACAGTTTCTTCAGTCTTGTTTAGAATGGAGGCTGATATGATTTACAATAATGTGTTCTTTAGATATGAGTTCACACACACATATATATATACATGTATATGTAGATATACGGATACACATATGTATACAGTGTATATATACATACACACACATATATATATATAAACAAAAAAAACACATGCGTGTGCCTGATTTCATTTTCCAACATATTGCCATGGGCCATGCCCCTTTCCACCAGCCCAGGTGGCGTGATCACCTACTCCCGCAGCTCCACCCCGGCCACCATGGCGGCGTCCCGCCCGGAACGGGACTTCGTGCGGAAGAAGGCGCGCAGGAACGTCCAGCAGGAGCCGGAGGGGACGGGATGCGAAACTGGGGCGCTGTATTTTAGGAAAGCCATGGTAAGATGGAGAAAATATCTATTTTATAATGATCAATGATCAAACTATGATCACATATAATCATCTATAATCTATGCATGGTTGTGTTCAAGCCGTGAGTGGTTTTTTCTTTATTCGTTTCAGCAGCTGGGAGCCGCAGGATCACTTGAGGCCCGTGAATCAGCTCATGGGGCTGGTGAACACCCATGTCCGCACTGCTTGGGAGACTTGGACGAACCGCTGCACAGAAGTGTCCGATGAGCAAGAAATAGTTGGCATCATCAACTATTCATCAATTGTCCCATGAATGTGATAGATTTGTTCAGGTGATGGCAGGCCCAGTCACCCACTGAGCTTTAGCACCAAGGAGATCAAACAGCAGCCCTACAAGACGGATCTGCGGGCGCGAAGCACCACCCTTCGGGTGGCCGCTGGAATTGAGCCCGCGCACATGCGCTTTGCGCTGCAGAGGGCCAATGAGACAGGAGCCAAGTGGAAACAGATGTTCAGGCCAGAAAGGGATGGACTAGCTTGAGTCAGCTTGGTGTGTAGGCATGTTGGAAGAAAGACGTGTGACAATGCAGTGGGTTCTTGATTTTTTTCGTTGCATATTTGAAACCATTTTGCCACAATTTTGGAGGGCCGATTTTTTTGGGAGATAAAATCCAAGAAAATTGCTCTTTGAAGGCTCATTTGTCTTCAATTTCATGTCGATGAACGGCCAGGCCGGGCTTCAACGATACGGTGAACGAAGCCTTTCTAGTTGGTTGCAATTCATGCATCCTGAGCCATCTTTATCTGAAGGATCCTTGGCCAACGAGTGAGTGCATGTGGGATCATGTGGCGTGTGCTCAATTTGGATTTGTGCCTCCAAAATGGTTGTCTCTTGATGGGAAGTTGATGATAAACCAATTGGTTTTTGGGGTTGCAGACAATCCAAGTTCTTTTGGGATATGGGGACGATTCGGCCCTCCAAGACGGAGACAATTTGGACAGCAGCAAGCATCACCAAGGATAAAGAGGCCAAGGAGCAGTTTCAGAAGCTGCACGTCAAGGACGGGGGGACATCCAGACAGACCGTCATTGGATGTGTTTTCCGTTGTTTTCCAAAGCTCGGAGCTTCCTGTATGTTTTCCTTTCATCCAGTTTGGGGCAGTAAGGTAGTCAGTGGTATTAATACTTATAGTAAGATATAGTAAGATACAGTAAGATATAGTAAGATAAGATGATGCAGCATCAATTTTGGTTGAAATGACCCATGGAGCATCATGACATACATCGATGATGCGAAGTGGGATATCGAGCCGAGGGGTTGCCGAGGATGTGAATGGCGTTGTGTGGTTTGAGCTGCAGCGCAAAAAGGCCCATCTCTTTTACATGCGCATGGACTATACAGACTCTTGGCGGTGAGCGATAAAGATGAAGTTTGGTTTTGGGTTCGAGCATTTTTTTTGTTAATAGTCACCTTGACGCCAGTACTGCTAGGACATGTTTTTGTACATGTGCATTATTATTGTCCAAAGAGCATGTGAACAATATAATTAACAATTCATTCGCCAGTCGCCAATTGCATTTTTATGTGCAGGGGCGCAGCAGAATCTGCGAACAGGTTGCTACAACAACTTCCGAATTCAAACCTGACTTTCATGGACGTCAGATATGACCCACTCTGATCCCTCTAAGAGTCTCCTCATTGGCATTGGTTGATGGTGGCTCCTTTCTTCACCGTGAGACATGGACAGAACTCCATTCCGCCCAAATTGAATACCGTAAAACAACAACCCCCCTGGTTTGATGTTGAATTCCATGTTGAGGTCCCACAAGGACATGAATGTTTTACTACCCTTTGGCAATCAAATGTGGCAATGGAAAACCCACCATTCTTTTCGACTCTCCCATTTAAATGTGCCAGTGATGGAGGGTTTCCCAGCCACAATGACACCGGATAGCCATGGCGTTTTACTGAGGACGTGATGATGGCACACCCAGATGCCTGGGGCTTCCCAGATACCAGTCGCGTCGTGGCCGCCAACCCTGGAGAACCTGTGAATCCCTTTCACGGTGCCCAGTCCGATCGGAATGGCGTATCGGAATGGCGTATCGGAATGATGGTCCATGGAGTTTGATGATAAATCCCTCTTAAGAATGGTGATTTTCTTTTTTTTTTGTTTTGTAGCTATGTTATATAATAATTATATATATATGTTATTAACCAGGCAAACTTGGTAAACTGTTCAATCTTTGTTCATCTTTGTTCCACTGCAAGTCTGCTCTCATCGAAGCGCAACATGAACGCTTGGTCACCACCCTGAATCTGAATGTGACATGGAACATCACGGAACCTAAAACAGGACCAAATCTTCGATAATTCTATAGGAACATCATGTCCTAGACCCCAAAAAAAATTGGGGTGTGTGAGATTTTCTGGACCAACGGGACTGCACCGCCTTATTTTTGTATCAATGGTGCATCGCTGTGCATGGCTCAGGTTGGTATGCTCAGCATTCCATCGATCCGGAGGCGGAGCTGGAAGATGTGGAGCTGCTTGGCGCCACGGATCTCCCGCGCAAGCGCGGACAGGCTGAAGATATTGGAACAACACCTATGAAACAGCCGCTGAAAATTAAACAACAAACACAATTTGTAGGATATTTTTTAACATTTTATAACACTTTATAACATGTATAATTAACCATAGGGTAATTATGTTTTTTTTTAATATGGCAGTTTCATGGGGGGCGGTACAGATGGTTATAACCTAATATTATATTTGGTGAAGATGAACATCTATTAAAAACCCGTCCACTTTGACATGTCCCATGTGGAGTTAACCACTACAGTGGTAAACTCCATTATAGTTGCTTAAACCCGGGCATATACTAATGTAATTGGTTTAAACTCAAACTAATGCGGTTCCGAAAAACTCTCAGTGTTTTATACATCAATCCAGAATTTTGTTTGTTCATTAAACATGTTTTTTCACTCAACATGTTTATTTCTATCATTTTTTACACCCCTTCAACAAAAAGTACCCTCTGGTAATTTAACATAACTATGGAAAATCACCATTTTTCATGGGTAAATCCACTATTTCTATGGCCATTTTCAATAGCTTTTTGTATGTTTACCAGAGGGTAGACTGATGATTGTTGAATGTTCCCTCCGTTCTATCCCCATCAGATCAGCCATAAAAAATCCGCATCATATCAGATATATATGCGCTGCATTGGGTTGGACGCGACGCAGCGTTTCAAACACGGTCGAGGTTTCGCTATACCTTGCGGCTTCGCAGCTTTCCCGAGACCACCTTTCAAGCCTTAGCGCTGGGGAAGATCCCAGAGTGGTGCCTTGGCCATGGATTTCAGCAGCCAAAACCTGGATTTGTATGCTGCAATTGACTGTAAATGTGGATTCCAAGCGGCACAACATTGGAAACAGCAAAAACCTGGATTTCAGGATCAACATGGATTTAAGTGACACCAAATTTAACGAACAAAAACGGGGATGTAAGTGGCAATAAATGGAAACCAAGTTGCAAGAATGCAACTTACGCTAATAGGGTGTGCCTGAAAGTGATGGTTTTGAACAGCATCCACCTTCCCAGTTACTTGAATGGCCATAAACTGGTTGACCAGATTCTGCTTTGTTGATCATTCCAGGTACCACCTCAATACATTCGGGATAGAATTGACGCCCATCAGTCAATTTACCATCCCTTAACACTGCACAGATGCAAGATCTTAAAAGTATGAACAATCATTTGTGAATCTATCATATTTTTATCGCATATAAATCGATATAAATCGGGTATCATATCAAAATTTCACATCTCTATCTAATCCGAATCTTGATAATCTTGCCTCATTTTATCCCAACCGCTCCACAGCCAAGGATCAAGCCCTACCTTTCCTTGCACGCGGAGGCTGAGGCCCCGGACGACCTGACAGTGGAAGAGGACGAGGAGGCCATGCCGACAGAGACGGGGAAGGCCATTGAGCTGGAGAACAACCTGATGATGGAGGCCCATCTGACAATTTCACCAAGCATCTGTTGGGAATTCAAAGAAGGGAGAGAGAGAGAGATATATATATATACGTAATATATCGTAATATATATATATATATACATATCTATATATATATACATATCTATATATATATACATATATATACATATCTATATATATATATACATATATTTAATATGATTATTTATTATTATTACTAATTATTGTTACTTTTTCTTCTTATTCTTATTATTGTTGTTTTATTATATATATATATAATATCCCCCAAAACAGAACAGTAATTGCGGTCGCTCTTTGATATAAGAATTTTAAAGCAACATCATAGTAAAAAAAGGCACACACACACAGATACATTTGTTTGGAATTAATTGATACATATATGGGTATATACATATGTGTGTATATATGGATGGAGGCGGCAATGGAGAACAACCTTTTCCCACTGGTTGGCGGGTCAATCAACGAACATGATGCTATACTGGGGATATATATATATACAAATATATGGCTGGTTGATTTGCTGTACTAAACTCAATGCCATAAAGCTCCACAGTGGGATCAAGAATGCCATAAACAATCCCCAAGTATGAAGCATAGAAGGCTCATGAAAGGCTCATGAAATTGTGAAATTGATGTGATAAATCACTACTCTATCGGAATTGATGATGATTTTGGATCCTCCATGCCTATGCCATTTTGGAGCGACGTCACTGAAGTCAGAAGAGAGACTTCAGATCAAGAGAGTGAGAAAGTAGCACATACTGCACCCTCCGGTCATTTAACATAGCTATGGAAAACCACCATTTTTATAAGGAAATCATATGTATACATATATACATATATATATATATACATACATATATATATATATATATATAACACATTACCGAAGGGTAAATCGGGGGTTTGGGGCTGAACATGGACGGAAAAGTGGCACAGGTTCTGCCCTTGATATTTGAGAAATGGGACGTGGTGATGGGGGTGATGGGGGTGATGGTGCTGATGATGATGGTATATGATGGGGGGGTTATTGTCGTTATTGTGTTAATTAGTTATTATATTGTTATTCCTTGTTTATTCTTATAACTATTTATCTTATAACAATAATTATATATATATATATATTATATATGATATGCGTGTTATTACTGCTATTTAATCTGATTGTCATTATTATGTTGTTTATCACTATCACCACCATCATCAACACCATCACCAAACTCTCACCGCTCTCGGTTCACAGGCGGGGCTCGAAGATGGCGATAATCTCTACGTCAAGTTGGACGAGTTGAAATTGGCGCGTGAACGAACCACCGGCCCCGACGTCTTAGACGCGGACCTGAGGGCTTACAGACGTTTGATTGCAGTGGTCGGAGACCGGGATTGCGGTGTAAATGACATAATGACATAATGTCAACCCAGGATATTAAACCAAAGAATTAATTTATCCTGGTAGATGGGGGGAGGGGTGTCATCTGCAAAACTGTGATAAACACTTTCCAAAATGACCCCCCACCAGTGAAACAGCTCAGGGGGTCATTTATCAGGCGTATACATGATCACTAAACTAGATCAACCATGGTCTTTAGATGTCTATACTTTGTAGTCTACAGTGTCTACAGTTTTCATATGTTTCAATGAATCACATGGGACAATTTCTGGACGTGGATTTGACCCAGATGGTCAGTTGGACAACACATAACTAAAGTGGAAACACAATAATCAACCATTTCAAATACGGCTACGGGATACCCAAATAAACCTCGGAGATGGTTCATTTATGGCACTGGACATGACATTGCTTTACCTCATGACACGGCACCGAGGACTTCAAGGACTCTCCGCCATGCGCATTTTTTTGCGAAGTCGCGGAAACCCGGACAGCCGAAAGGAGGTGATCATCAGCCCAAAGATGGTGAAGGATCGGCGTCTGAAAAATCACCGGGAAACACGATTGATGTGTCGAAGTGCCGAAGTGTGACCCTGTGGGTTAACATAGAAACATCACCATTTATAGATGATTTAGCTTTAAAAACTGGTGATTTTCCACAGGTATGTTTGCTTATCAGAGGGTATGTTGTGTTTAAGTGGTTGGTTGCAGTAAGAATTGCTCATGAGGTCCTCTTTAGGGACGGATCCCTTTCACTGTGGAACCCCACTTTCTCATAAACCATCATAAACCCTCCAAATGATCAACATTGACACGTTGAATATCATTGAATGCTGACACTTTTCAACCACTTCGCCAGAAATATAGCATTTGTTCATGTGTTTTCTGAGTTTCCCTGGCCCATCAGGATATGGCTGCCCAGTTGGGCATTCAAAAGCGACCAGCACACTACTGGTACTGCATGTTCGCTCTGCGCTATCCCTTAGCACCGGAGTGGGAGGCGGTGGTTCGAGAGGATACCCGATGGTATCTCAACCTCCAGCAGGACACGGCGCAACCGGTCCACCCGATGGTGAAAAAGTTCCGAGAACATCTGAGTGATGTCATTGCCAACGAGTTTCTGGGCGAGTCGACGAGGTATTCCACAAAGGTCAACGTTTACAGTTTGCTATTAAACATGGGCCATAGACATAGTGGATTTTCCCAGCTACAAAATGGTGGATCTTTCCATATATAGTCATGCAAACGTTTACCAGAGGGTATTCCTTTTAGTTGGATGAAATCATGGAAGGGATTCTTTCAGCGGTTTTTTTTTATGTTTTTTTCGCACACCAGATGCCCCACTGAACTTGGTAGCACTTGGTAGTTGTTTGACATGTTTTTTCCTCGGTCTCGAAACCAAATGAGGTTTCTGTGGGATTTCCGCGGCTTTGTCAAGATGAAGTGTAGTGAGTGCGGATTACCTGACTCGGTGGTCTGGTGCCAGCAATGCACCGATTACTTCTGTGCTCCTTGCTTCCTACAGAGCCATAAATCCCGACGTGGCAGAAACTCAGCTACAGGGGAGGTTCTAGATTCTATAGATAACTGTTTTTTGTGGGGTTGGTGATGGTGGTTTCAAAATGTGTCAAATACATTCTATCTTCAACCATATTTGGGATGATGATTCCAGATGACCTAGCACTAACCACTTATGATCGAGAGAGAGAGAGCTAGTGAGACTGGCAGGAGTACTTCTGATACCTTTCGAATCTTCAATAAGGAGGAAGATCACCCTGGTATTCTAACTGGCCAAGCCTCAGCAATCATTTGTCACTGGAAGAAATCCTGATAGGTTCCTTCAAAACATTTAATCTACCATGATCAAATCAGCCATTTGCCAATCTTCAGCTGATATGTAGAATTTCTTGGTAGGAAGTTCTCCATTTGCCATCACCAAGAACCAGGAGAATCAGGAGCCATGTGCTGCGCCCTGAGGAAAACACTGGCCTTTGCCAGTTCCAGGATGCCGCTACCTCACTGTGCCCGAAACCCGCAGGTGCAGTTTCGGATGTTTTCGGAAGATTTCGGGGACCCAAGGTGTTGTATATAGTATCTGTTCCTGTTGATTCATGGTGGGGCTTGGCATTGGTGATCAACTCATGAAACGCGACGTCATGACCTCAACTCCACCACATATCTACCCTCGCGTAATTCAACGTGGCTTGCTGGAAATCCTGTATAGACGCAGGTTTATAGCTGAGAAAATCAGCTACTTTCATCTACAAATGGGGGATTTTCAAGCACGCTATATTTGATTAGCGGATGGTATCCATATAAGCAGCAAGGGGTGCTCCGAAACCGCAAGGTTTGGAGATCAGCTTCCCTTCTTGAACGTTGGTTTCTCCAACAGAAGGCTGGGATTCTGAAGAGGAAATTGGGAAATCCCTCAGTAAATGAGTCAGCAATGGATCTAAACGGAGGTTTTAGGGGGAACACCCCGCAATAAATCACAGATTTTCCATTGCCAAGTTTGCTTATCAGAGGGTACTTGGCAGGGTTCGCATTCATGGCAGTCACCCATAGGCGATTCCTGGCACGAGACAACCAGTCTGACAAGAACGGCGATCGCAGTGGTGACACCTGGTGACCAGTTTGCAGGGATTGGATGCCAACGGTTGGCAAACTTGACAAAGCCTTGCATTTCTGACTAGTGCTTTGAAGTAATATGAAGTAATAACTTAATAACTGTATTGGCTTCCTCGTCGTTTGGTTGATGTATGTTCTTATTTCACTCCTCATGCCATGAGAATGTATTTCAGTTGGCTTTGTCTTGAATTGCTACATGGCACTTCCTCAACTCAGGTGGTTTGCGTTCCTTTCCATGGCTAAAAAATGCTAAAATATGATCCAAGCCAGTGCAAGGAGATAGACAAGTAATTTCTCACTATTTAATAGTGGGAGTTTACTTTTCTATCCTTTTTGGGGGTCGCGAAAAACCATGGGATGATATTGATCCGGGCGCTGAGGCTTTGGTTTCACACCGACACCTTCCAGGCAGCCCTGATGCAAACCCCTGAGAATCACTGGTGCTTGAAACGCCGGGAACCTCCGCGACTGCCGCCTGGAGTGGATGGCTATTACTACAACTTCGCCACTGACACCGTGGCGGACGATGTGTCCTATATCCTGCTCCTTGGTGAATTAAATTGTATGAAAGCTGGTTGGTGGTTTGGAACATTGTTTATTTTCCCCAATAGTTGGGATGATGATCCAATCTTACTAATATTTTTCAGGAGGGTGGCTCAACCACCAATCAGAAAGAGCCTCAAATGCTTTCCGCCTGTTTTTGTCCAGACTTTTCCACCAACAGGCCGAGACGGCCGAGACAATAGTTGAAGACATATCTCAATGCAGTGTCCAAGTTTTAAACCAGCGATGTTATGTAATATGTCCAATTATAATTGCCCCAATAGTTCTCCCATTATCTTGGGCTACTATCAGGTCATCAGGTTAAATCATGTTTGCTGGTTTGATCCAAGTAAGACTCTACGGATAAGTATGGTTTTGACCGCCAAATATATGTGTTCCCATGGGCTTTCCCTTCGTCCCATTCCTGGATCATAGCAATAGGTGCAAGATAATATCGCCTTTAGCCCAGCTGAACTCAACGAGATGGCGATGGAGAGAGTGGGAAATATATGGGTGTGTCTGAAAATAGTGTACCCCTAAACCCAATGGTTAATGATCATTATCCCTATTAAATGGCTATAATTGGGGGTATACCCCATTTTCAGACAAACCCATATAGCCATTGGATGTTATTGGATATGTTCAATGTTAAATTCGCAAGACGCAAGGTGGAGACCATCGACCTATCACAAAACCAGCTGGTTCATCTGGCTAGAACCAGCTTCCCACTGGATTGGAAGGGAAAACCTGGAGGAAACCATGGCTTTCCATGGTTTTCCATGGTTTTCCCCATCAAATGGGCTGGGGGTTCCTGTAAATTTTCCCTGAAAAAAGCGATCCAACGAACTTTGTTTGCTATGGACAATCACCACTTTTCATAGGTCATAGGTAAATCAACTATAAACCATCATTTTTTTGGGGTAAATCGCCATTTCTAAATAGGTAAATCATAAATCATCTATCTATAAATCATCCATAAATAGGCCATGTTCATCCATTGGATCCATTTTCAATAGCTATTTCAATAGCTATTTGGCTAAGGACCTCCCAGCAAGAAGCCAATGCGGTGGCGCTGATGCAGCGACACATCCGCGGCGCGCTGACGCGGCGCGCCATTAAGAAACAGACCACGGCGGTGCCTCGGACGATCTCGGATGTGGGGCTGGGAAATTGAGAAGTTGAATGCGGATAATATACATATATCATATATATATATATACATATACATGTATTTATATTTACATATGTATATCACATGTATATATATATATATATGTACATAATCATATTATATTTTTATAGTATGACAATAGTATAATATAGTATAATGATAATCCTAATAGTATTTACTAGTAATAATCATTTACAATATCATATATATATAATCATATGCGACCCCTATGGATCTAGACACCTCCTGAGAAGGTACTTAACCAACCAATCATACTATAAAAACACATCCTTTTTGAAGGTACTTGAATCCATAAGGAATTTCATATACATAAATAAATATATGTATATATATATAGAGAGAGAGAGATAGATAGATACGATGACACGTACATGTGTTCATCATTATCTATATATGTAATGTAAATGTAAATGTAAATGTAAATGTAAATGTAAATGTAATGTAATGTATCTATGTATGTATTTACATTAAAAAAACAACTACATATGCATCTATAATCTATTAGTCTATCTCGTTATGATTCAAATGTTTAGATATGTATGTGTATGTAGATATATATATATACATATGTGTGTGTTTGTGTATATATATATATGTATAGATTGTGTATGTGTATCAACCTAATGTATGATGGTATTTTCACACAGTCACAATAAAGTGTACGGATGACCAGTTGTGTATTCCTTGGTCCCCGGAAGATTTTGGGTTACCATCTCCACTCGGTTCTGCCGAAGGCGTTGATCTTCCAAAAGACCAAGATGATGTGGGACGTGCAGCGCATCCACGGCAGCAGTGGCAAGAACGCCTCCATCATCAAAGCCTGGTTCCGCAAGCATGTCGCCAGAGAGGCAGGGAGTCATTGCTTCATGTCCAATCTATACATGGACTGATATATCTATTTTTTGCTTTGACATAGGTGTGCTGATACAGTTACATACAAGTGTGGAACTCTGGTTTCCATGGGCCCATCCTTGACCTCTTCAGCTTATCTTGATGCCACATTCCTCAAGGTTATTCCCCACCTGCCAGGTGAGGGTTGTTAGATTTTATGTCAGTTGCCTCCTCGTCCTCCTCCTCCTCCTGCTCCTCCTGCTCCTCCTCCTCCTCCGCCTCCTCCTGCCTCGTCCTCCTCCTCCTCGTCCTCCTTGTCATCCTTGTCGTCCTTGCTCAACTGCGACCCGCGATCCACAGTGTTCCCTGCCGGACCTCAACCACGACCATCCACGCCCAGTGTTCCCTGCCGGACCTCAACCACGACCATCCGCGCCCAGTGTTCCCTGCCGGACCTAAACCACGACCAGCCACGCCCAGTGTTCCCTGCCGGACCTCAACCACGACCATCCACGCCCAGTGTTCCCTGCCGGACCTCAACCGCGAGTATCCACGCCAAGTGTTCCCTGCCGGACCTCATGTAGGAAGATAAAATGTCAGATAGCGTGCCAGAAGATTTGCCAGGTAGAATGCCAGAAAATATGCCAGAAGATATGCCAGATAGATATGCCAGAAGATATTCCAGAAGATATGCCAGATAGAATGCCAGATAGAATGCCAGATAGAATGCCAGATAGAATGCCAGAAGATATGTCAGAATATATGCCAGAAGATATGCCAGATAGAATGCCAGATAGAATGCCAGAAGATATATCAGATAGAATGCCAGAAGATATGCCAATAGAATGCCAGAAGATTTGCCAGATAGAATGCCAGAAGATATTGCCAGATAGAATGCCAGAAGATATGTCAGATAGAATGCCAGAAGATATGCCAGATAGAATGCCAGAAGATATGAATGCCAGAAGATATGCCAGATAGAATGCCAGAAGATTTGCCAGATAGAATGCCAGAAGATATGTCAGATAGAATGCCAGAAGATATGCCAGATAGAATGCGAGAAGATTTGCCAGATAGAATGCCAGAAGATATGCCAGAAGATAGAATAGCCAAATAGAATGTCAGAAGATATGTCAGATAGAATGCCAGAAGATGTGCCAGTAAGAACATGTATAAATGTCATGGTGGGGATCACACGAAGTAAAGTAATTTTTTTTACTTTCGCAAAGAGAAATACACCATGTTGGGAATCCTACAGGGCCCATAGGGGGCCTCTGGGCCTCTGGGCCTCAAATCCAAGATGCTCAGGCGAAAGATCGGGTGCAGCAAAGCGCAGCACGCTTTCAGGCCAGGTCTGGAAGGGCCCACAACAGTGGCGGTCACCGGATTTGTTTCTCAAAGGGCCTTCCTTTTCAAACGGATAAGGCCTTTGCAAAAGGGAAATGATTGAACTTGCAAGTCTGATTCATATGGATTTTTTTCTAATTATTTTTTTTTGGGATTCGTGTATGAGTTGCTCATGTTGTTATGATCTTTACAGGAAGGGGCTTGAAAATGGTTTGTCCAGAAATGGGGTATACCGGTATACCACTATCTATTGCAGTTTTATATAATGGTGCAATTGACACTCTTACCATGAGATTTTGGGTGGTTCCCAGGCAAATCCAAGCGGGACAATTCCATCTATTGCCACTTAGTTCCCAACTTAGTATGCTTGTTGGTCAAATCCGAGTGTTGGTTGGTCAAATGCAATTTATTGCTGGTTATATCGCAATCTATTGCCAATCAACCCCCCGTTTGTTGCGAACTAAGTCCAACTGTTGGTTAGTTAAATTCCAACTTTCGGTGATTACATCAGACTTGTGGAAGGTGCAACCCCTCTCTTCTTGGTTAATCAGTTGATATCAGTTGTATAAATGCCACATTTTTGCTGATTGAATCGCACTTTTTTGCTTGGCTAACTCAGATTTTTGGATATGTGACTTGGTGAAATCATAGTAGATCTTTAAATATGTAGATCATTTAAATCATAGTACTATCATAGTACAGTAAATCTTAGTTCACTGACTTCTGAGGGACTTGGTGAATTGATCCACCAGCTGTCGCTGTCGCTCCAGGCCATTTGGCGCGGAATCTTAACCCGGCGCCGCACCAGGGACCTCCTGGCCAGCACCACTCGTTTTCAGGCGCTGGAAGGGACGGCTGATGGTCACATATTTAGATCTGTTTTGGTTATTTAGATGCTATATTTACATATCTTGTTATTTAGATTATTAGATTGTTATTGTTATTTACATGTTACTACGAAGTTTATTACTATTGATGTTGCTACTCTTATTGTTACAAGTGTCTATTTATGTTGTGATTTTTATGTGTCCTACATTTGGATGTAGAATATCGACGGATCATGTGTAATTATACTATATTATACAATTATACTTACTGTATATATATATATGTTATGTTATCCATGTATCTCGTTTACTTCAGGAACTGAACAACAGCATAGTAGATACTTAGATATCATTAGAAACATATTCTTATAAGATCTTATAACACCGTAATAATGTAATGACACTGTATTCAATGATTTCACATATCATTAATTACATATATTATTGCCGTGGTTCATCACTATTATGATCGCACTTTTACTAGTGCTATTAACCTTACAAGATTTACTATTTACCCTCTGGTAAACTAACATAGCTATTGAAAATGGTGATTTATAGTGGATTTTCCCATTGAAAATGGTGATTTTCCATAGTTTTTTGTTAATTTACCAGAGAGTATTTTCATTATATGGGCAGCTACATGTGTCACGTCCAGTATCCAACCCCCAACTTGTGGGTGGGGACTTGGGGTCCACCATGGCGATGAAAAACCAAAAACCGGGATCCATGGAAATTCTGCATAGTCCTTTTTAATTATCCCCAATATTCCCCAGTTATATATATAATTATATATATATATGTATGATATAAGTTATATCCCCATTTTATCCCTAACTTCTTGGGCTGGGGGAATGGATTTTCTCACCTTCCCAAGCCTAGAAACCGACCTTTCAAGGCTGCCTGGAGAGCTTTCGCGGGTCGGCGCAAGGTGCGGCGACGACAGGCAGCCGCTGTGACCATTCAAAAGGCGCCGGTGACGGCTGTGGAAGGTTGATCTCTGTGGGATTTGGAAGGTGAGATAAAATGTATTATACACACCATGTACACACACGCACACATCTCCATCTCTGTCTCTATCTCTCTCTCTATATATATATAATTATATAATTATATATATATATACCCCCCATATATGGATGTGATATTTACAGTACACTAATATACATACATATATATATATACTGTATATGCATGTGTGTGTGCTGTATTTACATTCGTCGATAAAAGTATTTAGAAAAAGAACTAAATCCTGGCCTGTGACACAAGTATGTGGGATGCACTCAGGTCGGCGTGAGTGCATGGATGTTTTTGTTAGTAAATTGGGCACCACTTCTTTTTCCTAAATCTACACTCTGGTAATTTAACATAGCTATTGAAAATCCCCATGCTTAATGGGAAAAATCACTCTAAATGGTGATTTTCCATAGTTATGTTAAATTACCAGAGGGTAACATTCATCGATATTATCCCATCAGCCGCCCAAGCGAGGCTTACCGCCGTATTCCACCATTGATAAGATTATTCGCAGCTGGTTGCAGCGCGAAAACCTGCTTATTCCTACCTATAATAGCAATGATCCTGCACCCCCGTTTTCAAATCACTACCTGCCCTTTCATGAAAGTTCCACCACCATCAGTTTTCAGAACTGAAGGCGCCAAGTGCAACAAAAACTGAACTATACTGAATTAAAAGAAAACCAGGAGTTCCTGTAAATTGTCCCTTTAACCAACCGATTGATTGGATTATGGTTGGTTGATATCTCCTTTTCCATGGTTCATCCCTAAATATTCCATTAGATCCCTAGAATTCCCAAGATTTCCCAAGTTTGTAGATGTATTTGCATGTATTTGCTATGTATCTTCCCCAGTGCATCCCAGTTCACCATGGTTTCCCCAGGTGATCCGTGGCTTTCTCCATGGCCGTCGCCTGATCCGCCAGCGGCACAAGGCCGCGGCCCGGATCCAGGCCTTGGTCCGTGGCATCTTCACGCGGCAGCGGCATCGGAGGCGCCTAGAGGCCGCCATCCGGATCCAGGCCACTGGGGAAGGGCGGGAAGGGCTGAGATGGGTGATGTTCAATAGATACATACTGATACAACAAGTACACGTCTTAAGATCAACGCAGATTACACACATAATACATACATATGCATAATTGTATATATACACATAATTATATAATATTATATATATATATATATTTGTATATATATATATACATCTACAGCAATAAATGTTTGATGATTCAATGATACGTATATGTAGATGGACAGGTTTCATCAACAAAGATTATCTATTGGCTTGGATTTCAGTGCGCTGTCATAATGTAGTAGTGAGGGTTCTAAGCCACAAACTAGAACCACCAGTCTGCCAGTCAACCAGGGGCTCACTTCAACCTGCCTGTAGCTCCAATTTACACCAGAAATCACTCAAATGCATTTCTCCATGGAGAACAAAGCACCTGGAAGCTCCTGGAACCTGGCAGAGAACCATCAACAAAACATAACAAAACTCTTAAAATGAGTTTCCCAACTTTCCCAACTGTTTATTTGACTTCCCGTCCCCCCTGTTTTTGTTCCCACGGTCCCACGGTGCAGGCGCGCATCCGTGGCTTGTGGGGCCGGCAAAAGGTGGCGCAGATCCAGAGAGCCGCAGGGAAACTCCAGCGGAACTGGCGTCGCTTCCAGGCGTGCCCCGAGATGGGACGAGGGACGAGGGATGTGTTTTGCTTATTTACCCGGCCTGGTAAACAGCCACATAGCTATGGAAAATCACTATTTTTAATGGGAAAACTCACTATTAATGGTGATTTTCCATAGTTATGTTAGTTTACCAGAGGGTATTTACTGTGCAAGGATTCTGAATAGTTCAAAAGAGATACTGTAGGACTGTTTCGAATATTGGAAGCTATTCATCTTGGATTTTTGACCTCCGACTAAACTTTAGAAAATGGTCCATACAGAGATGTTCGCAGCCAAGTTCCACCGCAAAGTCTGGGAGCAAGAAGACGACCAAGGGCGCAACCTTTTCTGGTTGGGAGGTTCCTCCTTCGTGGGGGATTGGTCCAGCGGGGGCCATTCAAAATCTCTGAAAATTTTCCATACCATGGGATATCATGGGATACCCAATTTACACAATTGTGGTTGATCCAACTTTTGAGGTAACACGTAGATAAGTTTATTTCAAATACATATAGATCATATAGTTCTGCAATCCTTTCCTACATCCTTTACTCATCGTCTAGCTATCTGCCCAGGCCCAGTTGCATGTGAAGCAGATGGTCTATGAACGCATCGAGATGTTGCGCTTGAAACGTTTGGACGTTCTCCGGGCCAAATTGCAGGAGGCCGCCATCGTTGTCCTACAAAGGTGGCTGGGTGTGCGCGGATGTTGGGATGGAGTCGGATGGAGGTGAAGTTTTCAGCGACTGGGTGGACTTCAGGAATACAACGAAGATTGAACATCAGTTGAATCAAGGTAAATGAGGGGGGCACAACTAATGAATGGATGTTTTTTTTAGGGGCACAAATTGACCTTCACAACTAATTGCAGCGGCATAAATGGAGAGATTTAGTTGACAAACATGAGGCCAACAGGTAGCATTTCCCCCACAAGAATCACAAGAATGGCGATTTTGAACAGACCACAAGGGGGACATGGACATATAATGAAATATTTACATACATACATGGAGATTTCCTCAGCAAACATGAGTATTCCCTAGTATTCCATGGTATTCCATGGTGTTCTGGTAATTTGAACCGACCACGATAGGGAACTTCCCGATTTCAATGGATGATGGCAGCGGAAAGTGTCTACTACCATCTTTGGTGCATTCATTCAGACGGCATTTGTCGTTAAAGAATGTTCATGTCCCTAAGTGCATTGATTTGCACAAGGGATTCTCATCATTAATTCTTACTTATTCTTACTATTGACTATTGCCTTATAAGTCCCTCGATACATCAATGTTCATTCTTGGATCTCAACTTTTGCGTGGTAGATATATGTAAATGCATACAGATGGGCGCCCAGAAATATGTACGTACACATATAATCACACACATATATATATATATATGTATATATATTATACACATGTATTGGATGATCAAACTTGATTTTCTGGGTCATTCACGTCCAATGTCGGGCTACGTTTTCTCCAGGAACTGGCGGCGTCATGTGGATGCCCAGAATGCCATCGACGAGCGAAAGGAGAAAGGTGATGCTGACAAGCGCACCACCACCATGTTGGTGGCCCCTTGGTGGCGATCATTTCTATCATGGGGCTATCAAGGGGGATGGTAAATGACGATGAGGATTTGCAACCGGACTCCATATTCCAGCATATTCCCGATGTTGGGGGAGCCAAAGCAGCTACCGGGTAGCAGCCAGCCATCGAGTTCTAGGGCCTGAGGGGCCCTTAGGATGTAGATTCTGTGTGGCGACCACTTTACTTCACAAGCAAGTTTTGAGTGTAATTATCACTGCCGGCAGATGCCTGGATGAATTCTGGTGATTGATAGCCATCTACAGCTGGGTTTGCCACCACATCTCCCACCAAACCGTGCGGTGTCGCAGGCCTTGCTGGAAGGCGCTTCAGCCTTGCGGCACTTCATCCACCCCTGGTGGCGGCATCTTCCACCGCAAGTCCAGGCGATAGGATGGGGGTATTTCATGGGGATAGAATGGGCGAGCAATATTTGATGAGCACAACAATTAAAACCATTTCGTTTGGGATATTAATATAATAATATACATCCAACTATAATGGGAATCATGTGGATGAAAGATGATGAAAGTGACTGACATGTGTTCAGTTCGTCTAGAAAATGGTGACTTTACACTTTACACCATGCGATAGTCTAGATCATCACTGGCCTGAAAGTGGAATTGCCATGTTTCTCCACTTCTTGCTATGCTAGTGTTTTTGCGGAAGGTATGATAAATCTGGTTCAATTATTTACTGTATACTGTATATACTTGGTGTTTCGCAAAATGTTGAAACCTCCAACATATAATTTCCGCAAGTTCTCAGCCTGTTTGGAATGTAGGCAGCCCTCAGTACTCCCAATGGGTGTTGATGGTTTGATCATTCTGGAACCACACCGATTCACTTAGAACCTGAAAATCAAGCTTCATGAACTCCATGTTGCCATACTCACAAAGTATTGGTAGCAGGATACTTTGTTGATTTATGCATATTGATGCGAAAGGGCAACTCATTCAAAGCGAGAGAGAGAGAGAGAGCATAAAGAGAGCGAAATAAAGAGAGAGAGAGAGATACATAATATAACATATAACTATTTATAATTTGTACAATAGGCATAATATAATATATATATATATACATATCGAATAAATTCGAACTTTTAAGAAACATGTTCAATTCCTGGCATGCATGTCCTACATTTTCATCTTCTTTACAGATTTTACAGGAACTCGTTAGTAGGTGGACATCGCCAGGCCATCCTGAAGGAATTGAGGGGGCCTTTGCAGAGAAGTGCCTGGGTGGATGCCCTGAATCCTGTGATTTGAATCTCCACCAGCTGAGGACTTGGTTCACATGTGTTTTTCATATTTTGTTCCATTTCCAAGTCCTTTTTCTGATCTCAAATTTTTGGGTTGTCCAAGTGTCTTGAATAATGATCCTTCCCATACTAAACACCCAAAAGAAACCATGCGGGATGTTGGTGACAGCACGATTTTGATGAAGGCCCATTGATGGGGTCTTCATCAGCGTCCGTCCAAGGCATTGCCCTGCTGCCAGTGACCGGGAAGTTAGGTTCCGAAGAGCTGGGCCGGCGGGGCCTCAACGTGGCCAGCATGGAACATCTGCAGGGGGTTCAGGTGGGGAGGGGACATGGGAAATTCATGGAAATTCCAATATGCTTTTCGTTCTCCTTGTTTTGATTCTTTTTTTGGGCAGTGGATGGTGGTTTCGGACATGATCCCAACTCATCCGATATCGCAGGCATCGAAGGATCCTGATCTTGCAAGCCACTTGCTGCTGCAGGCCCTGGATGTGTTGCGAATCATTTCGGGGACCTGGGTGAAGGATAGCTGATGTTTTTGCTGACTCAGCTATACTTCATATGCTTTCCATTGATTTCATACTGATGGGTGTTTGAAATCCTGCACCATTTGGTGTTTATTTCCAACATCCCCTTATAATGTTGGTAAGACAATGTCATAAACCACCCATGACTCGGAATGGTTTCTACACACCAAGCAAAAAATGGTGATGACTGGGGGATGGTGCATCCATGGCCTTGTTTTACCAACATTCATCTCATAAGATCAACGGTGTTTCATAGGAATCCCAAGCATCCCAGCTGGTGGATTTCCGACCGCAGGTCAGCAGGCACCTGCTGTCGCATGTGCCGGCAGAACTCTTCCCAGAGACCATCAAGTGGGCTTGCTACGTCATCTTGGCATTTGCCGAAAAGTACGTTTTTTTTTTTTAAAAAAAATATGTCATTATTAGATGTAAGTAGTAAAACAGATTGTTGAGTTTTTAGTTAGCAACATTTCTTATACAGTATCTCGCATATTGATGGTGTAGTATTTTGTTGTTGCCATGATTAGATTGCTATATTGTTGTTGTGTTTTTGTTGTTAAAAAATGTTGTTTCCGTCCTGCAACGCGCCCGCGAGACTCCTGCTTTGATCATTGATCTATCATGCTACGGTAGCATCAGATCTGCTACGTTGCTACCCTCAACAAGGACGAAGTTTCTCCCAAAGTGGATGAGGAAGGTGGTCTTATCCTGTCTTACCCTCTGGTAATTTAACATAGCTATTGAAAATGACCATTTATAGTGAGTTTTCCCATTAAACATGGTGATTTTCCATAGTTTTTTGTTAGTTTACCAGAGGGTATCCTGTCTTATCCAGCTCATCCAAGATGGGATTCCAGTGGATTCCATACAAAAAACAGTCACCTTGCCCCCCGAAATGCGCCTGAGGCCATAGGGCATCAGGCCATCAAGTTGCACCAGACAGATGGCTACTACCCACAGGAGATCATTCCAGTGGGAGCTTTGGCTGGGATAGGTGCAGAAGCTATCAGTATCACCCACAAAATTAGGGCTGAAGCACCTGAGATCGTGGAGGCTGCGATGGGGCCATGGGTGGTGGAGAGTCTGATATTTTGGTGCCTTTCTCTCCTGCGTAAAGGTATCATTAGGTGCCAAGAGCTCTTTGCTTGGGCATCATCAAAAGTGTCGCCACAAGTTTTCGGATGCCCATCGCGACCAAGGAAAAGATATGCCCCCTCATCCGCATGACAAGCTTCATTGCCTCTTCAAGGACTGGATTGAATGCTGAAAAGCTGCCACTTGTTCTTGGCATCCGTAGATTTTGATGGATGGTCACAAGTCGTCATGGTCATATCAGGTCCTATTCATACCCGAAATTCAATGGTTTGCAGTTGATCTCTGGCTCCCGAGGCTTGAAATGTCAAACCTGGCGCCCAAGAAGTTTTCTGGCTATACACCGCGAATATCCCATGACATGAGCTTATGGTTGAACCTCCATTTCCATGCCATTCGAACATACAGGAAGCGTCTTATACATGTTCTTACATGTTCTTACCCTTGGTTTATGAGCCATGCCATAGGTGGGGTACAGTCTGGACCTGATGGTTAAACATGTGGGGAATTAGATTAGCCCGTTCCCTTTAAAGAAAAAATGGCCGTCAGACCTATTTTTGGGGCAAACCCGTACATCCCCACAAATTATATATTCTAAATACGCAGGGAGAACAAACATAGACCTCCAGTTCCTATCAGTTCCTGCCATTCAATTCTCCACTCTAGTTCAACAGATCATCTCTGAAAATCCGGGCTTTTCCAACATGTTTTCCAATGCCAGTGGCTGCATGTTATGCCAGGAGATGGACATTTACAAAACCCGCACCGATTCCATGATGACCTTCCCCGAAGAGTCCATGCCTATGCTGACCTTAACCGGGATGCCCTCGCACCATCGCCACGTCTTCCTGACCGCTGAAGTGCTGGTGACCATGAGGCCATGGAGACTGAAGCCACGACGTAGCCTTTAAGGTCGTCTAGTATAGCTATATATGGAACATCACAATAAATCATGGGTAAATAAGATTGAATAAGTTCTTTTCTAAACTATCAATTTTCCATACTGTAGCTATGTTAGAATATCCGGAAGGCAAGAGTTCATTCAGGGGTTATTAACCACTAACAAGCGCTACAATAAGGGCTTATTCATCATTTAATTGTTTAGTGGAGGGTCACCATTGGAATGGCTGGTTGAAGATGTTGAAGATGTTGAAGAATGTTGAAGATATATGCTCCGCTGCAGCATTTTTTTGTATTGGGATATATAAGCTGAAGTGAATATGCGTGGATGATGTGGGACGTGAAGGGAGGCAAATCTATAAATTGAAAGTTTTGACATTTTGAATATCATGGCATCTCTTGACCCGACATGAGATTGCTCGGCAATTGCGAAGCAGCATTTCCTACCAGAAGTGCTTCACATGACACTTGATTCCTTTCCCAACACCCTCAACAACAGCAGTTCTCAGATTGGAGACCCTGACTTGCAATCCCATCACCACAATCTCCAAGCCTCCCCAAACGACCCCCGTTTTGTACTGGATCTCTCGAGTTCGAGGGGCCCTGTGCGTAGATCATGAGATCCATCCACTGGAAAGCTGCTTTTCTCTCAAATCAGGGCGTGTTTTGTTTTGCGACCAGTTTGCCAACTATCCGCAGCTATCCCATGCGAGCCAATGCGAGAGCCATGGCAGATCAAATGTTGGTGGAAGACGTCTTGCATCTCCAGCTCGTGGATCAAGAGATCCGTGCCCTTGCCAGGAAAAAGTTAAAGGGCCTCAAGGGAAATGTCCCTTGGAGAAAGGTGGCTTTAGTTGGCGGTGTGGGCCTGACTGCTGCGGCAGTACCTCCCTTGCTTCTTGCAAGCTTAGGCTTTCAGGCGGCAGGAATTACTGCCGGCTCATGGGCCGCTTCATGGCAGCCTGCAACGATTGCGAGTGGAAGTTGGTTCGCTTGGGCTCAGTCAACGGCGGCCACGGGCGGATTTTTTCGAAGCTTGGTGCCGCATCATCGGCTGCGACCTGGGGCGCAACCCGGAACAAGGAGGTGGACATGACAGACAGGGAACTCCTCATGATCTTGCTCGAGAAGGAGTTGTTTGACCATGAGATGCGCATTATGTTGATCCAAAGGCTTCCGCTCAGAGCAAAGCTTTAAAGCCTGTGTGGCTTTGCCTGCCTTGATTTCAAATGATTCTCGGCCAGGCCGTACACAAGAGTTGCTTCAGCATTTCAGCTGTTCTGATGTGACCGGTGAAAGCCCTTAGGTTCACTTGCGAGCACCCAGCGAGTGGTAAAAGTGGTCAAGAGGTGAGTCTTGGATCAGTGGAACTAGTCAAATTACTGGCTGGTAGTTTGAAATGGATTTAATATAGTACCATTGAGAATAGGATTTGAATGTTTTGCATATGACCTGGGATGATGAACCCAATGCTCCATATATCCCGGCTGTCCAATGTTCTTGGGCCCAGACCACCCCGGAAGGTAGCCCTTTGACACTGGTGCTTGGGGCGTCGGGGATGTGTAGGCTGCAGGCTAGAATTGGATTGTGCAAATGCGGCTGCCTCTGCAAGCGCTTCTTTGGTTATATAGATATAGATATAGATATAGTCGTTAGAATGTGTGTTCTCAGGTCCCCCAAACAGAAAAGACTGGGATCTTTTCTGATAGGATGCCAGAATTCGGAAACGTCATGTCGGCGAAGGGGATAACCATGGGCCCCCCCGATGGCCCAAGCTTCGGATCCTCCACCAGAGCCCCAGGCAAGCCTTGGATTCCCCGGCCATCTCCACGGACGATCACCTGAAGTTTCAAGGATTGGATGCCTCTGCTGGTGCTCAACTCATGGAGGTGAGCCAGCTGGTGGACTTTCTCTGGTTTTGCCTAAAATTTGGAGTTGCTGGAAATACACGCAGTTATACATTTACATTTAAGCTATCTACCTGAAGAGATGCGGATAAAAAGTGATGGAACCTATGAAGGAGTTGAGTTGATTGATCCAAAAAATGCTGGCACTCCAGAGCTCAATGAGCTCCTCCCTGCAGGTGTTGGGTGCGGAGATTGAACATCGCCTGCCCTTGGATTGGCCCAACCAACATGGCACAGTGGCAGCGCTGGCGCAACAACTGGGCTCACATGTCATGGAAGTCAAGAAGGTGGCCGTGGCAGGGTGGGCTGGGATGAGGTTTGATGATGTCATTCTTGGTGTGGCAACTTTCTAGGGCGGTGGCGGAATCTCTGCAACATAGTGAATAGATCCGAAAGGACGCTGAGAACATCTCAAGCCAGTTTTCATGAATTTGCACAACAGTCAACATGGAGGGTTTGATGCAGGTTTGGTCATCCTCTTGAAACTTGCGCGCTGTTATGCGCTATTCAAACTCCAGGAGCCTCTGAGTGAGAATAAGGAGGAGAAGAAGACGTATGCGAAGGGTGAAGAGAACCTGGGACCCAACAGAGATCCTTCCTGAGGGAGCCTGTTTGAAATTTAAGATGGTGTAAGCCTTCGCCTTCACCAACTGGCCCCTCTCCAGTGAGTCGAAAATCATCAACAATGATTTTGTTCTCTTATTTGGGTGCTGGCTAGATCTGGACGCCATTGGGGTTGGCAACATCCCCACCCCAAGGTCTCTGTGAAAATCAGCTCATCATCTCAGCATGTAAGGAAACCCAACTCCCTCTCCATCTTCAATCGAGCGGCAGTGATGCGCGTCATTCAGCAGGTGCATGCCATGTTGAGCATCGCCTGAAATCTTAAAGCTTCCCATTTTGGCATGGCTCGAGGCATGGCCAGCCATGGCCAATGGGTCAGGGGATGGTATGGGGCTTGTGGTCAGATCTTTTTCTCCACCTGCAGCAGGTTGGATACCTCATGCGGGATCAGTACAAGATCATGGATTCCGTGCTGGGCTTGCAGGCACCTGAAATCGAAGCTGCGTGGGACCTTGTTGGTCAGCTGGATAAAAAATAGCACTCAACATCCTGAAAAGATAAAGGCTGAGAGTCCTTACAAAGTGTACCAGTTCCAGCATTTTATTTTATACTGTATATTGTGCAAATCATGTCAATGTACATCACTTAGTGGCCCTATCATTTCTGGAGAACACCCGGCTCAAGCCGCCCCATTTCTCGCGTTTCTCAGGATGAAGAGAGCACCAAGAAGGGCGAAGGCGTACGCCAGGGCCGCTTCGTGCTGATGACGGATCGACTCTTTGACATGGCGGACCGGGCGCCCCACGACCATTGTCCCCCGGAGCAACTGGAATTTCAGTCCTCTTCGGAGTCAGAAATGGGAAGTCAAACCATTTGCAACCATTTAGTTAATACATTTAATACATTGCACTGGTGTGTTTCTGCTATATAGCATTATATAATTTATATAGCCATATTCACCCAGCTCAAAGACATGATAAGAACTGTCGGGTATTAGTGAGATCTTTGGGATTCCATGGGATTCCAACAGGTTCTTTCGTTCTGGCCGTGGTGCTGTTCCACATGATCATTCGTGCCTTGGTGCTGCGGCTCCTGTATCATCGGGCGGCCATTAGCCTGCAGAAGAGGTACAGGTCACTTGGCCTGGACAAAAATGCTGGACAGCCTGGGAAAAATGGGGATATCATATGTATTGATGATATATCATGCGGTTGTAATGGGCATGTACTAGGATGATCTCTTCATAATCAAGGGAACATTTTGAGGAAACCATGGTTTATTTATGTTTATTTGCGAGGTAAACGCCATGGTTTCCTGCATTTGTTTGCTAGCTTTTAGACCAAGTCGATTTTACCTTTGGGCCATGCCGTTACCTTTGCCAAACTCGAAGGTTTCTGATTTAGATTTAGGGGGAAGTGAGGTTTCTAGATTCGCCAGCTTTGTCATTGCTTTCTATTGCAGTTGTTTGACCCATATACAAGCATACTCTAAGCAATTCCACGGTCAGATCCAAATAGCTGCAATGCGCTTCCTATCCATTCCAAACCACGACTGATAACCATGGCTGATTAAAAAAAGTCCTAAGATGTTTCCAGCTACAACAATGGGAGTTTGGGTACCCCAGACCACTCCAAGCTGTTCCCTGTTACGGATACTTGTGATCGCATTGGTTTGTTTGAAAATGTTGTGGCACAAAATATGATTGATTCCCTATTTGAAGGCTGCCATTTAATTCCCCCTGTTTTGGACAGACCCAAGTAAGGGAAATATTATGAAATATTCTGAAATCAAGATATTATTGGTATGCTGGTAAGACTCATCTTTCCACTACCAAAATTGGTTGCAGGAAAAAATGAATAGCCCCCCTGTATTTCTGCGAAGACATGTTTCCAGAAAATTCCCTCACACCATGATAATCCAATGCATTGCCAGTTAAGTCAGTGATGTCCCCATGTAAAGCTGGTTCCTATCATTTTTTTTACAACTAAGATGAGTGAAGTCCCTATGTATAGCGGGTTCCTATCATTTTTTTTTCAACTAAGATGAGTGAAGTCCCTATATATAGCGAGTTCCTATCATTTTCTTCAGCTAAGATGAGTGAAGTCCCCATGTATTATAGCGGGTTCCTATCATTTTTTTCAACTAAGATGAGTGAAGTCCCTATGTATGCCTATGTATAGCTGGTTCCTATCATTTTTTTTCAACTAAGATGAGTGAAGTCCCTATGTATAGCGGGTTCCTATCATGTTTTTTTCAACTAAGATGAGTGAAGTCCCTATGTATAGCGGGTTCCTATCATGTTTTTTGTTCAACTAAGATGAGTGAAGTCCCTATGTATGCCTATGTATAGCTGGTTCCTATCATTTTTTTCAACTAAGATGAGTGAAGTCCCTATGTATAGCGGGTTCCTATCATGTTTTTTCAACTAAGATGAGTGAAGTCCCCCCCCCTATTTTGTTATATAGCCCCCCTTGGGGGGGTTCCTATCATTTTTTTCAACTAAGATGAGTGAAGTCCCTATGTATAGCGGGTTCCTATCATGTTTTTTCAACTAAGATGAGTGAAGTCCCTATGTATAGCTGGTTCCTATCATGTTTTTTCAACTAAGATGAGTGAAGTCCCTATGTATAGCTGGTTCCTATCATGTTTTTTTCAACTAAGATGAGTGAAGTCCCTATGTATAGCTGGTTCCTATCATGTTTTTTCAACTAAGATGAGTGAAGTCCCTATGTATAGCGGGTTCCTATCATGTTTTTTCAACTAAGATGAGTGAAGTCCCTATGTATAGCTGGTTCCTATCATGTTTTTCAACTAAGATGAGTGAAGTCCCTATGTATAGCGGGTTCCTATCATGTTTTTCAACTAAGATGAGTGAAGTCCCTATGTATAGCTGGTTCCTATCATGTTTTTTTTCAACTAAGATGAGTGAAGTCCCTATGTAAAGCTGGTTCCTATCATGTTTTTTCAACTAAGATGAGTGAAGTCCCTATGTATAGCTGGTTCCTATCATTTTTTTCAACTAAGATGAGTGAAGTCCCTATGTATAGCTGGTTCCTATCATGTTTTTTTTTCAACTAAGATGAGTGAAGTCCCTATGTATAGCTGGTTCCTATCATTTTTTTCAACTAAGATGAGTGAAGTCCCTATGTATAGCTGGTTCCTATCATTTTTTTTCAACTAAGATGAGTGAAGTCCCTATGCATAGCTGGTTCCTATCATGTTTTTTCAACTAAGATGAGTGATGTCCCATGTATAGCTGCTTCCTATCATTTTTTTCAACTAAGATGAGTGAAGTCCCTATGTATAGCTGGTTCCTATCATGTTTTTTCAACTAAGATGAGTGAAGTCCCTATGTATAGCTGGTTCCTATCATTTTTTTTTCAACTAAGATGAGTGAAGTCCCTATGTATAGCTGGTTCCTATCATTATTTTCAACTAAGATGAGTGAAGTCCCCATGTATAGCTGGTTCCTATCATTTTTGTTCAACTAAGATGAGTGAAGTCCCTATGTATAGCTGCTTCCTATCATTTTTTTCAACTAAGATGAGTGAAGTCCCTATGTATAGCTGCTTCCTATCATTTTTTTTCAACTAAGATGAGTGGAGTCCCTATGTATGCCTATGTATAGCTGGTTCCTATCATTTTTTTCAACTAAGATGAGTGAAGTCCCTATGTATAGCTGGTTCCTATCATGTTTTTTCAACTAAGATGAGTGAAGTCCCTATGTATAGCTGGTTCCTATCATGTTTTTTCAACTAAGATGAGTGAAGTCCCTATGTATAGCTGGTTCCTATCATTTTTTTCAACTAAGATGAGTGAAGTCCCTATGTATAGTTGGTTCCTATCATTTTTTTTTCAACTAAGATGAGTGAAGTCCCTATGTATAGCTGGTTCCTATCATTTTTTTCAACTAAGATGAGTGAAGTCCCTATGTATAGCTGGTTCCTATCATTTTTTTTCAACTAAGATGCTTGAAGTCCCTATGTATAGCTGGTTCCTATCATGTTTTTTCAACTAAGATGAGTGAAGTCCCTATGTATAGCTGGTTCCTATCATTTTTTTTCAACTGAGATGAGTGAAGTCCCTATGTATAGCTGGTTCCTATCATTTGTTTACACGAAGATACCTGAAAATAGCTGGTTCCTATCATTTTTTTCCAACTAAGAAACCTGAAAATAGCTGGTTCCCTATCATTTTTTTCCAACTAAGATACCTGAAAAAGAAGAAGAAGTCGCGCAACGCGGTGGCACCGGCCATTTGTATCCAGCGCTTCTGGCGTGGTCTGCGCACAGGGCTGCAGATCACCCGCATGGAGCTGGCGGTGGAGAAGATCCAGCATAGCTACAGGCAGAAATCCCTAGAAGATCCCAGAGGTTTAGGGAGGAACTGCCCCAAGATTTGAGGTTATATTATATTTTAGTATATTTTATATAATTATGTACACACACATATATATATATTATAAAATAAATAAATAAATACACAAATACACACATATGCAGATTATATAGGTCCCAGCAAATTCCTGCAAAGTCCACCAGGCACTGGAGAATCTCTAGCTTTTGGGGGTTTTGATGTATGTCTTTCCCAATGGAAAATCATGGAGGATCCACAAGTTGGGGAATCTCTGCTTTTATGGCCCCTTACCAGGTATGGACGTCAGTAAGTCAGATCAGCCCATTGATAACTATATTATATATATATATACACAACTGATGAAGAATACCGAATACCATCTGGTAAAATAACATGACTATTGAACATCACCACTTTTAATAGGAACTATAAATGGGCCATTTTCGATAGCTATGTTGGTTTACCGGAGGGGTATGTGTTGATGTTGTTCGGGTGTGGTCTCCTTGGCAACTCCAGGGCATATCGCTGGAATAGCCGCAACGCCAAATTCCTGCGCCTCGGGTTTTCCGATGACTGGGAGGGTTGGGAGGTCACATCTCCAGCTAATCCCTGTCATTAAAACTCATTACCCTCTGGTAAATTAACATAGACCCTGGCAGATAGGGTTTGGAAGACTAGTTTCCATTAAAACTAGGCTATTTTCAGGGTCTATGTTTATTTACTAGAGGGTAAACGTTTTTGGAAAGTGTGGTTCACTACTGGATCGACACGGTTCCCCCTTTCAATTAAGGAGCACTAAGCCTAGTTCTGTAGGGGGACGAGATGAGGAAGCCAATTCGATGTCCATTTCCACCCGGTAAAGCGTGGTCCAAGATTGTGAGATGAACATGGCATCGCAATAGTGGAAGAGGTCAGGGCAACTGATACACCCCTGGGCCATACAAAATTGGGAGGAGTACCATTTAATGGCAGATTGTCACTATAATTGGGGGTATCTCCCCTAATGGCCAATAAACCAGGGTCTATTTATGGCTGTTTAATTAATATATTAATTGAATAATATTGAGAGTTAATGATTCATCCGGTGTTGACCTTACATCTTGATGCCATGGCATCACTTCTCCAAGGAAGGCCACTTTGCACCTGCAGCGTGTTTGGCAAGGGGCCCTGACGCGACAATGGATTCGACGCTTGAACGAATCGGCCATTGACATCCAGAGGCTGTGGGCGTCACATGATGAACCGCTGATTTTTCAGCAACAGATAAATCAGATTGAGCTATTTGTGATGAGTAGCCCCTATCAATCCCAATTGTTTGTGACTTTCGTACCAGCATTGGTCTAAAGCACCAATCAGGAGACATATGAAGACATAAAGCACAATTAAAATTGTAGGGACAGAACCTCTCAGAAGAGCCGCTCTGTTGTTGAAGGCGCCAGCATTTTTCCCATTACCAACCTTCCAACATCCTCCTATCTACAAACCGTAATCAAGCCGGATCTTCTCACTTCCCCCCCAAAAAGATCCAAACGCATTCAATTCGTTCAACCATATGTTTAAAAATACATATTGACCTCAAATCAATTCGAATCCCAACCTCGGCACTGGCCCCATCCCAGATACCCTGGGGATCCCATGGGGATCCCATCGGCCAGGTATGCCCGTGGCCTCTTGGTGCGGGTGTCCCTGGACCGCTTCGGCCGGGAACTGCTTCGCAAGAGCCAGACAGATCTCACGCAGCTCATGAAACGACGCGAGGAGCTGGGGGAAGGTGCGTGCGGTGGAGTTCCAGTTGGCATTTTAAAGACACATCAGAGAAACAACCAGTTAAGATAGTTAAGTTGTGTTAAGTTTCATGTATGCAAGATCCATTTACATAAGAGCATTTAAGACATTCTCACATCATTCGAGATATTTGAGCAAGTAAAATAGGGATTTGCACAGCCCACAACAAGGGGGAATGGAATGGAATGGCCTCCTTTGTGTTTTCCTTTTTTTGTTGCGGAAAAAAACTCCAAATTGCTGGTGGCAAATTTCTGCCCAGATGAGTATCTCGCCCAAGCTTCAGCCATCGCGGAGAAGGCTAAAATCAGCTTGAGCAAGCCGCTGGGCTGAAGATATTTGCAGATAACTGGGTTCGTTGCAGGGTGGGGATTAAAAATCAAAATGTCTTGCATGTATTACCTCAAGTAGTAACAGTTTGGGATCCAGCAGACCGTTTGCATGCACTTGGTGCTTAAACCCCGCTGCATGTCAAAGTTCTTTGAAGATTTGTCAATGTCCCTTCTTGGGCATCAGGCCCCAGTAAATCCCCCGGCCCTGCCACTTTGGATATGATAAAATTAGACCCCGTACAGCCCCAAGAATGGGGAGCCATCCTAGATCTCAGATCCATCTATGATCCTTACATATCCTCATGTAATCATTACCAACATGCAACTAGCAGCGACCTACCAGGCATCGGGACCGGAACGTGGACCTGCGGCGCAACGGCGCGTCGACTTTGAAGTCCAAGCAGGCTCGCATCCTGGACAAGCGGATGCTTGGTGCTGGTTGGGATCAGCCATCCAGATCTCCATAGACTGGTTACCCTCTGGTAAACATACAAAAAGCTATTGAACATGGCCATAGAAATAGGATTTACCCAATAAATATGGTGATTTTCCATAGTTATATGTTAGTTTACCAGAGGGTACATCATGTTACATCTGGATACTGTTGGATTGGGAAAAATGGAAACAACTTGGTGTTTTTACCCCAGTTTCAGAGTTTCCCGTCACCAATCCATGGGCTGGAAATGCTCATTGAATTATACAGTACGCACATACAATACATTAAAATCAAGCAGGACTGGTAAACAAACAATGCCCACTTTCAAGATTGTTAAAACATGTTAAAACGCTTTGGGGAGTTCATCAGTGCCAATGTAGGTTGATTTCCGTTCCTATCATTCCGGGCCTGAAGCCACCAACGATGCCGGGTGCTTTGAGACGGTATAATCAGCAAGAAATGAGGAAATGCCAAGCATGAGGATGGCCAGAACTCCGGTGCCCATGGCCCGATTTGAACACAAGTCCCTTTCATATTATGTAGTCTTCCATTATGGGAGGCCAAAATGGCTAGTTTTATACCATAACTTTGTCGTTTGAGTCGGTTGTACTGTTCATTACATAGCTAACTAATTTATACTAATTTAATAAACACTGGCCTATGTTGGTTGTATTTGTTTGTTGGTTTTATACCCAAACTTTGTTAACTAATTCGCACCATCCTTGGACGCTCCAAGGAAGAAGATCAAGATGAAGGGCTCCCTGCTGCCGGTCAGGCCAGCGGACTCCAAATCCATCACTTGCATTTAGCTGGCAGATAATACAAACACACACACATATATATATATATATATAACTATGTATATATATATATATGTATACTTATGTGAATATATGAGTTGATGAAAAATAATTGGTATTAGCTGGTTACATAAATTTGGCTATGCTTGGCTTTGCTTTTGCTGTTTTTTTTAATTGTTCCCTCAGCTGCACGGCGTGTCACGGCTTGTCGATGCCGGAAGGATCTCCATCTTCGAGACCTTCTGTGCAGTTGCACGACGCACCGCTCAGAGTCAGCAGAACGCTAGGCCTCAGAACTGCCAGGAATTTCGATGTGGGATGGTTTTCGATGTTGGTAGATATGCATGTCAAGTAATTATACACTATAGATGGATAGATAGAAAAATCGGTTAGATTAGACTGGATTAGATAGGATTAGATAGGGTTAGATAGAATGGATAGATAGACAGACAGAAGATAGAAAGATAGATAGATCGATAGATCGATCGATCGATAGATAGATAGATATATAGATAATCAATGACCTAACATATATATATATAAGGCCTATGTAAGGCCTATGTAAGGGAATATCCCCATAAAATATTGTCTTATATGGTACAGTACCTCCATTTTAGGATCCTGAAATTCCCATTGAGATAATGAATGATCATGATATATAGCTACACACACATACACACGGATATTTAACCAACAACATGTATCTACAGTGTAATGTACAGTCACAGGGAACCGTGACCCCCAGATCCAGCGTCAGGTTCCTCCGTTCCTCCGTCAGGTTCGGCTGCATCCACTCCGGTGTCTTGACGGAGGTGCGAAAGTGCCACCGCAGACTCAACAGGACAGGCACCGTGCAACGAGGTGAGTGGGAATGGGTCAACTATTTCAAAGATGCTTCATATAATTTCATATATAAATATATGTATATATATATATATATGTATGTATATATATAATTATATATGTGTATATATATATACATGTATATATATATATATGTGTGTGTGAATATATATATATATATATGTATGTATGTGTGCGTGTTTTGGACTGGTTTAATCAACACACAGAATGATTGCACCATGAATATCCATGAACATTATGTGATGATTGTGATGGATTAAACTCTGCGATTTAAGCATACAGCTATGGATAGCTATGGTTTAGCCATGAAACTACAGGTAAAACGACTGGTGAAAGCTTTGTTTGATATCTTTATATATACTTTATTCTGTTGCCTGCATGGGAGAATGTAGTGCACTGCTGGAAATCTATCTATCTTTCACAGGGTATCTAAGATGAGCCGAAAACGACGGTGAACATATCGCTTTCGGGTGCTCCTTGCTGACATCTTCTGACGATTGTCAGCGAAATCCTGCGAAATCCATGAAGGTGAAACGCTATGAAAAACAGTGAAAAGCACCAACATGACTTACTGTTGCTAAACGTAGGGAATGGATGGGTTGCTGGGGGTTGCTGGGATGATTATTGATAGTTAGCCAGTGGATCATCCCCTCATTCCCTGCGTTTAGCACCGACATGATCAACCAGCCAAGATGTCCGGAGGACCATGCCCAATGATGATTACGCCAAAGATCCCAAGATGCGCACGGCCATGCACGCTGCGGCCAAGCGGGGTCACGCGGCGATGTTTGTGCAGCGCAACACCAAGAACTGTGAGGCACGACAAGTCGCACGATGTTGTTTGGTGGTTCTTTCATGTTGTCATGCTGTATGCTGTATCATGTTCATTTTGTATACGTTCAATTTTGGGGTTCCATGGATTCCATGGTGCCTCTTGCGGGTGCATCGTCAATCCGCAACTGGGCCGGAGGTGACAGCATCGAAGCGATGCCTTTTGGCAGACGACGAATTCGAGAATTGGATGAAACAGCAATTTCAGGTGCCGTGAAGTTGTGAAGTTGAGGTTTCCGAAGTCATGGGGGTACCCCCAGTTGTCATCCAAGCATGGATGACCTTGACTTAGTACGGAACAACCATGGTGACTTGCGGATCCTCCATGACTGAAGGAACCCAAATGTTTATCCCCTTTGGCTGGGTGGGTTTTAATTTTTCCTAAGCACCTAGAAGGGCTGTCCCCAGCAGACTGAAATCATGTTTCACCCATCCGGAAATCTTGCCGGGTATGAAATCCACACAAGTAAACAACATAAACAACTGCATTCCTAAAGTTTATAATGCACAGTGATCCACCCTTACTTGCGACCTTGAACGGCTCAAGACTTTGGTGGCAAGCATATGTAAACATGGAAGTTTTCCTGCAAGTTAGTCTTGATTTTTCTAGACTTTTCCCTCAATTCAATGCTGTTTATGCTCAGCCATCAGTCCACCCACTTGGTCGCTGCAGGTCGCGTAGCCGCTTATCACCACGTTGGCACTCATGAAGCCCGGTTTGACCTCGCTCCAAGAGCCAGGTTTGAAGCCCTGGGCCGTGCATGTGGTCCCTGAGATCCTTTGGCTTCCGCAGGTTTGAACATCTAATTCACCAAGACCGAGCATGCTTCGACTTTGGAGATGATCATGTTTTTATAACTATGGAACAACATTTTTAATGGGTAAATCCACTATAAATGGTCATTTTTCTCATGTTTTTTTCCTTTGGCGTGTGTCACAGTGTTCGTGTGTTTAGCAGGTGATCTGCAGGGGTCGTTTCACTGCGACTGGCGAGGCGCAACTTGTAAAAAGGAAAAACCATGGGCTGGCAGAAAAATCCATGGAGGTTCAATAATTGAATCAATATCGATGTACAATATGTGCATCTATACATGCTACATAACTACATACAGTTCTATTACAATATATCTCAATATATATATATATATGATATGTGGTTGGCTAGGTTAGGACATTTTATTGGCAGAACCACAGTCACCCCCCCGCTCCCCAAAAAATACTTTTTCTGTGGAAGCAGGCGGCAACTGGTAAGAACAAATTAATCATCAGATCTGAGATAAGCTTAACATGAATTTTAATGATTATGTAATATATATATAGTTTTTTCTATTGTTCGTAGGCAGGCTCAAAGCCCATTGAGGCAATCTTCATTTTCCCAGCTGGATCTTGCGAGACCGACACATCCACGAAGCAGAAGCAATGAGCTTGCTGAATGGTAGCAAAAAATATATATGGCTTTGAGTGAAAATAGGAGTCTCCAATGGTTTAGAACATCATGCTTCCCATTTAAGTTGCTAGGGGTTGTTAGGGGTATCTCATCATATCTCATCATATCCCCTTGATCAAGACACTGGATTCTGGGGCGTACCGTGCTGAGGCACATTGGAACTCCTTGTTGCGGGTCCCAGGGGGTTGGGTCCAAGGTTGTGGGATATGTCATCCCCAACCAACTGGATAGGTAGTTTAGTCCTTTAGTATCCTTTAGTTCGGTTTTTTAATAAATGAAACATATTCATAACCAATCAAACTGTAACCAGCAAAAGATATGAATTTGTTCTGGACTACCACAGATTGACCATGATGTTTCGATCGAATTCACTATGTGTTTCTTGTCCCAAGGTTGGTATCTAGCTCCTTTTCAGCTCAGAGGTAGGCTTGACCAGGTAGCAAAAATAAAATTAAAGGCATGTGTGAGTCTTCTAGTGGAAGTTAGGGGCCTCAGGGGTGCCCACAAAGTTGCAGTTTTGTCCTGTTGCATCCTTACTTTGATCATCCATGTAGTACGTACATTGTATACGGCATGTTAACCTCAAATCAGAGGCATACTGATCACATACCCTCCTGCCATTAAACAAACATCGCACAATCCATGATTCCTAGGTGATCCGTAGATGACATGATGATGTTCCTCTTCACTTCATCATTTTGTGCGGGGATTTTCTATTGATTACCCCCCTGTAAAGTAAGAGTAACCCACCATTTGTATATGATTCTCCCAAGGTGTCCCCATGGGTTTTCCACATTTTTTTGTATGTTTACCCCAGGCCCCAGGGTACCATATATACAATGTTGTGCCTTGAGATGCAAATCATGTTGTATATTTATAATTGTGGATAACTTGTACAAATCATGTTAAAGTTATATCAATAGATAGGGATATATAACATTGGATAGCAGATATATTAGAAACAGATACAAACAAGTTAGCAAAGATAGCTGTTTTTTTGTCGTCCAAACCGATGTTTTTTATGATGGGACAATTTTGCTGCTCAAGTGAAACACTAAATCCCTGGGAGCATGGCAGCAGCAGCAGCAGCAGCAGCAAACGTGGTGGCGCAGAGAGCGACACTGCAGGATTTCATCCTGGCGTTTCCTGTTGTTTAAGAGAAGATGAGAGAAGGTTGGCGTGGAAAACGCATGTGTTTCCTGTTGTTTCGAGAAGAAAACAAGGAAACGCGCATGATTTTCTAGATTTTAGACTTCCAGAACAAATAAATGCGTATCTATGTGTTTCCACGCAGAGAAAAAAAAGTGATTGTTTAAAAATGTATTTCCACATCTATACACACGGTGCTCAGAAATCTCGACATTCGGGATATGTTTCCACAAAAATTGGGAACGCGCATTGTATCCTCATGAAAAATCATGAAAACACAAAACTGGCAAGGGAACGGGATTGTGTTTCCAACTCTCATCACTGTCACCATCGTGCTTGGAAACGCGCATGTGTTAAAAAAGTTAATTTTGGGTGTTTCCTCAAGACTGAAATCCGTAGCTGTTGTTCTCGCCCAAGCTCACCCGAACCGATGTTTTTGCCAGAAACTCTTGACATTTCGAGATCAAACGCTCAGGAAACGACACGCAGCGGGAAAACCGGAACTTGCCAGAATCACATGACAAATTGCGAGAAAACTACAAAATTCAACGCAACAAAAAAATACAAAAAATATAGCTTAACTTACAAAACTTATAGTGCCAAACTTATTCATGGCAAAAACCTTTGGCTTCGTCTTCGACGGCCATAGCCTGCCGCGCAACGACCCTAGGCGAGGCATGACGCGAAACGAAGCCCTTCGGCAATACGGCATCCTCGCGCCACAGCCTCAGCGCGGCGCCATTCGTTCAGATCCATTGCTGGGTCAGAGTTTCCAAGGTCTTGGACTCCGCCCTCGCCAGCAGGAACTGCAGCGCCCAAAAGTGACACCCTGGGTCGGAGTCAAACGGCCTGAGGTCCCTGAAAGCGCACGGCGCTTTCGCCGCGGAAGGCCTGAATCCTAAGTGGGATGAAACGAAATTCTATAGGATCGTTGGAAAGGGTGGCTCAACCACGAAACAACTTAATGTTATTTATATATATTTATATATACATACTTGCCGACGTCCATTGACATCCACTTTCTAAATGTGAGGAAACCATTGAACAAAACATGATTTCCCAGAGGGTATTTGATTGTATCGCTCAAGATTCTGATCAAGTTAATGTTCCAGTATTGTCCCAGTTATGTTGATTATTTATGATTATTTATTATTCTGTAGTATTACAGAATATATATATATATACATATATTTACACACAGCCTCACAATAGATGCTTGAATACAACAGAACATCCCTGAACAACATCTTATTTGGGAGATGTTTGTTTTTCGAGCGTATTTTCTCTAAATGAGCCTAATTGCACCGCTGGGGGCAGTTTTCCATTCAGTCTACTTTGAAACGCATATTCTGAGCGTATTTTCGTGGGAAGTTGAAGTTGGCGTAAACACCAAGTCAACAAGCGTAAATACCCATGCGTCAGGACACACATGCGCGTTTCCTAGTCTAAGTTTAAACAAGTAGAAAAAATCAGAAGAACATCTTATTTTCGAAAGAAGGAGGGTGTTTCTTGAATTGGGGGATCCGCAAAACATCCCAAAACCATGGGTCTCAATATGTCTCAATCAATATGTCTCAATCAATATGTCTCAATCAATATGTCTCAATCAATATGTCTCAATACTAGAATGGTCTAATGACTTCGATGAATTGGAGATATCCCCATTTTAGGAAACCTCCATGAGTCTAGCAGAGATAAAAGTGCTGAAAATAGCCTTTTGGCGGCCGCCAGTGGCTCCGCTCCAAGACATCCAATTTTTTTTCGACGGAACACGGCCATTTGTTCCGTGTTCGTATCGGCACGGAGATAAGGACCAGATACTGAGCCATGAAAAAATACGTTTGCTGGGTGATTTGTTTGGCGATGCTGAGTGATGCTGGTCTTTTGGGGATTATGATGACCCACCAAAAACGTGGGGTGTCCATTGACCAACCAGTACAGTTGGGATGGTTTGTTTGTATTTTTGCATGGCTCATTTTGTTTTGAATACTAGTTAGTTTAGAATTAAAGGGTTGGTTGGCATGGCAGATCGACAGAACAGATGCCTTGAAATTGTGATGAACATGTGGCCTTTAGTCAACTTATATATGTGGCAAAATTGGAATTATTGACATGCTACCTTGTACAGTCAGTAGTCATGTTTGTGCGGGGCTGAATCAATGTAATACCAAGACACATACAATTCTTTCGCCATGTTTGTATCCTCCGGCAATCAAACATAACAATGTCAACCAACCCCCTTATGAATTTAGCATATATATATATATATAGGAAAAGAACATCTATTCTGGGAGATGTTACGCAGATGTGACGGAGATGTTCCATTATGCCATGTTTGATTGGAGGGTTGTTTGTATTGATCCTATGAATATCTATGAATTTGGTGTGCACCAATTTGTGCAAACTCTATTTGTTTTCAAACAAGTGGCGGGGTGCATTGCTGAAGTTCACACATGGCAACCTCTTGACGAACGCTCTTACATCATTCACTGGTACTGATCTTGCAATATAACACCCATCGATATTCTGCTTTTCTCCCTAGGCTTGCGCTCATTGACGATACATGTGCAGTCACAGCGTGCAGCCCAAGTGCTATACGTGAATCATCGCTTTGATTGGTCGTGCAATCATGAATTCCAGCTGCAGATTTGCTGGCAATTTTTATGCCGCTCAGCCGGGCCAAACCTGGGTGTTACAGGATTATGTGGGTGGTCTTAACATGTCTTAACAGTTTGAGGTAGTTGTGTCTCACCGCATCTCTCCACGTCACGTCCTATAGCTTTTTGGCGTGGCTTAATTTCTGATGAGATATCGGTTGATTCCAGTCACCATACTGTTGAGTTAGAACTCCTTGCTGTCAGTATTTCCTGAAGTTGGTGACGCTAGATCTCCGGTTCAATCCCAGTTGTTACTTTGTTAAATCAAATCCCAGGTTTTGTTGGTGAACGGGCTGTTGTTGCACGTTTAACTGCTACTTAGTCAAATAATGTCATATAATGTCATATATATATATGGAATTATATGGAGGTTTCCTAAAATGGGGGGTCCCCATTAATTATGGATGGTTTATAATGGAACATCCTATT